ACTATAAAACACTCCTTGGCAGATTACAATCACGAAGAGCTGTATCTGAGATGAGGTGCTGGGAGAGTTGTTTCCTTCACCTGGGAACTGCCCAAACCTTCTCTGCTGCCACCTAGAGCAAATGATAGTAACTCATGGTAAATCATGCAGGCAAGTGCTCCGAAATTTGTCTTTTGCAGGCTAGTGTTGTTTTCTGAGAGAATGAAAGCACTGTCTCTTAACCTATCTGGGGGAAAAAAACCCACCGCATTTTGTTGGGAAGCACTTTGACATCTGTTTGAAAGTCACTGTGGAAATGCTAAAATTAATAGATGTTTGGTGTCTGCTTTTTCCTCCAATTGTCATTTCTTAATTCCTTTGGGGATAAGAACATCATGGTTGTGGTTCTCTCATGACAGCACTGTATGAGAATGTAGCATGGCATTAAATGTATTGTGATATGTGAAGTAACAGTACTGTCTGACCACACTGAATGGTATTATTCAGTTTTTAAGACCAATTCTTTCCTAAGAAGCCCTGGATACTTCCTGTTCCTAGACCTTTTCTGTGATTTGTTTGCTCTGCTACCTGGGTAACTTTTTTTATTGGTTCCTGAGGCAGTACAGTGAGTCTCCTCTCATGGTTTGTGCCTAGCAGAAGTTCAGTAAACTGAGAATAAAAACTGGTTTTGTTTAGGTAAAAATGTGGAGATGCCATGTAAAATGCTCCCCTCACAAGAGAAGATTCTGGTCTGACTTGACTATAGCAGGCTATTTAAGAAGTTAGGGACAAGGAAATCTGATGTTATTTTGTGCCGTATGAAATATTGACCGTATGTACCTCCATGGATTGGTCTCAATCTGTGCATGCTTAAACAATAAAGTGAGTATTTCCTCCTTCACAGTCTGTCTTGTAACCTCATGACAGTACTTTGCTAGCAGTTACTGGAACAAGACCTCTGACCTAACTTTTCATGGCAGTGGGAGTGAACACAGGTAACTTTTACTGCAGTCGGACTTTCAGTTTTGGTTCATATTTTTAAAAAGTAAAAGTTTAAAAAGTAAAAGCAAGAGGAACCCACAGTTCCTCTTAACATGTGATTTAGAGAAGGAAGGCCAGAGTATAATTTGGACTCTTTCTGCACATGCTGAGGTTTATATAAAGTGTGCAGCACTCTTTATGTTGAATTTATTTACAGAAAAAAATGTACACACACAAAATTCTGAATAATACTCTACAAGGTAATGCTGAATGTCATATGCAGCCAGAATTGAAGGACAAGCATAGGAAAAAAAAAGGTAGCTTAAGCACTTACTATATGAATGTGAACTTCATTACATGTCAATACTGTCCAGAGTCTAAAACACAGGGGTTTTTAACTCAGATGGAAGCAGGCATAAAATCAGAAGACTGTACATAATTAAAGCAAAACAGCACAGTGAGAGATAACTTAACCTCTGTTACTCCTTTAATTTTATTTTTCTCTCTATTTTTGAATTGTGAACACATGTAAGCATCTGGAAACTGATTGAAATGCAACTCATGAAAACCTCACATTTATATGCCAAGCAGGCATTCCCCAGGTAGGCAGCTCTAATGTGATTGCCCTGAGGTGGAAGGGCCACCCACAATGTGGAAAGAGTAATTTATCTCTGTGCCAGCTCAGTCTTTGCCCTCTCTGCTCAGGCTGCTAGCTGGGATGCGAGTGACAGAATAGGGGCTGTAAACAGCCCTGCTCCCACCCCCTCAACAGAGGAAACCCTGAGCCCATATTGGTAGAGGTGCCTCGCATGAGGGGCTGCAGACTTGTGTCATTTTATGTGCCATTTCAGCATCTGCTGCCAGTGCTAATTTGGCCTGTGTTTTGGGCCAAGCTTTGGGATTGGGCTCAAGAACAGCTGTCTTGGTGGGTCCCATGATTGCCACGTTCAGAGATGTGAAAACAGAAACAGGGCAGCTCTCGGTACTGGTGGAAGCCTATTTGTTGTTAGCTGTATTTGGTTAAGGAAAACTGCTCATCTCAGGCTTAAATTTGGGTTTAGGGCTAAGAAAACTAGATATGCTGCGGCCTACGTTTTTCCAAGATTCTCAAAGGCTGAGAGAGATAAGAGGGCAGGGGCTGGCATGTCATTGGTTTTGTGACTGGACCTTGTGCCCTGGAAGGTTCTGCTTTGGTTTGAGAATGGGTTTGTGCTTGGGGAACAGAAGTCTGTGGCTTCTGTTCCAGGGACTTCACAATCCGCAAAACAGCTGTTATAACCACACAGTACTGGTACACCTCAGCGGCCATCAGAAGGGTTGAAGTCTGCAAAAATATTCATTACATTATTACAACACCTTTCAACATTTAAACTTCTTTTGCAGAAATTCAGGTTGTCTAACAAACTCTAGTTAATATTGCTAATCAGTGACCCAAACACAAAACTTTTGTTCTGAAAATATTGGTTCTTTCTAGAATTGTTTTCCTACTGAATAGCAAACAAACAGAACACCCTGAGAAAGGAGTTGATTCAGATCAAACTGGTATATTTCATTCTTCTTTTATGTTACTTGATATGCTAAAAATATATTAAATAGCAAGTTTATTCTACATAGAGAGAGGGATCCTTTCATTACTAAAACTGTGGGGACAGAATACATTGCTCTCCTGAAATCCCCTCCTGCCCCTTTTCTTCCCAAGGAAAACATTCATCAAAATCAGCCTGGCTTCACAAGATTTTATCAAAGCATATTATCTGATGGAAAAAATACTCTGTCGGAGTGTTGCTGTGTTAGGAATGTATCTGAGTGTGCATAGATGCATATTAGCTGGGTTTTCAAACTCTAAGGGGATTAAGAGATGAAACTCATTGAAATTCAGGAGTGAGACATTTTGCCTCCTTGGAGATGCAGGCCCTAGAGATTTAGATTCCCAGGGGATGCAACCAGGGGAACAGACAGCTATTAACTTTGACAAGAGGTCTCCATCACTTTTTCTTGGAAAATACTCTACAGAAAAAAATGTGCTGTTGGTTCCAGATTGAGGAGGCAGGTGAGGACATCTAGGTGCTATTTATGTTTCCTTCTGGGCACCATGAAGGTGCATTTCTGTGATTTTTATCAGTGGTTTAATATTACTGTTGACAGTGGTGGTATTAGGGTTAAATCTGCAACAGAAATTACATTTTTATCCATCTTCTGTATGTGTATCCCCTCCCACACAATTTTCACCTTTGGATCCCCATACTATGAATTTAAATGCACTAAAAATACTTTTTTATTTTCCTTAGTTGCCTGCTGCAGGTTCCCCTGAGGTTGACAGGCCACCACTGGAGTCACATGTAGGTTTGACATGAAGCCTTTGCAAACACTCCTCTACAAGATTACTCATGCGGAGTCACACCAAAGATCTGGTCTCGTAAAAGATGGTTAGAAAAATGATCAGGGTGACAAAGACCCTTCCTCTGGCTTAACTTTTGAGCTTCTGGCAGGTGGGAATTTAGTGCTTTACTGAGCACCTGTATCAGTGCATTTGCTAGTCACCAGCAAACCTAATCTTCATTGATTTGTCTAATTCATTTTGGAGTCTTTTTGGCTTTTGGTTTCTGTAATGTTCCGGCAAGTTCCATGATGGATGGCAAGTTTTGTTAATGTTGCATGCAGGAGTTTTACTTCTACCCATCTAACTTCTGGGAGCCTTGCAGTTGGTTTGTTCTGCAGGCAGAGGTGTCCCCCGACAGCACCGTAGGTGCAGGGGAATCTGAAGGTGCAGAAATGCCCTGCCCACAGCACAGAAGCATCACGTCCGCAACAAAGGCTTCTCTCCTCGTTCATCCTGTAGTGTCACCAATTGGTGGGTAAGGGATGCTGAGAACATGGGGCAGGATCCCCACGGCAGCTGCTCCCATCTCACCAGCACTTCCCCAAGGGGCCCTGCCTGGGAGAAAGTGTAGCTTCTGCCACATTTTAAAGCATTGTGATGGAGGACTCTTTGAGTGATTAATTTCTTAGACATTTCTTTCATGCAGGCTGTTAATTAGGAAACAGAAAGCTCTATTAGCAACGTATCCTTTAAGGGCAAGCGCCTTGCCTCAGGTCAGGTTTAAACAGCTAAGACACGATGTACACAGCTCCTTGTTTGGATGTTAATATTGCCACTGATTAAGTTCCTTTTAAGCAGCCAAAAGCTTGGGCTGTGAAAAACTTCCCAGAGTGGCTGCGTTTTTAACCCTATCATTTTTTGCTTACATGTATTTTAAATTTGTGTAAACATGTTTTTATGGCAGAAAACAAAAACGAGCAACGAAAAAAGCTACTCTGTTAACTTTTTCCATGTGTTATTCCTTAAATACATTTTTTAGTATGTTGGTTAAAAAACTTATCTGCTAAACATGAAAGATGCTTCCAGAAATTCATGCAGTTTAAGAATGAAATGACCAGGCCAGCTCATGAAAAGAACATTCTGACTTCTGCATTTTTAGTATGATGTTGTGTGGTTTTGGCTATCTTTAAGTGTGACTGTTTCCTTTAAAACAGTAACAGTCGCATTTACTGTTTGTTGCTAATGTTAGATTCTCTTCCTTTGTAGTTTCTCAAGATTGCCAAAACCAAAATAAAAAGGACTGGCTTGGAGAGTTAAAGACGGTGTTAAGAAAGAAAACTGCTTTCTACTTTACTTTCTCTCTGACTTGGGTATTTGGACAGCACAAATACAGTGCTGACAGCAGAACCTCTGAGACTTACACTGATTCCTCCAAATCTTGTCTCAGAAATGAGTCCCACAGCTCCCTGCAAAGTAATTGGTCTAATTAGGTGGTAGGAAGGAGCTTCTTTAAATTCCTCAGAAATTAAGACGTGTCATCCGCTTAACATCTTAGCATCTGTTACTGCCTCTTGCACATTTCTCCACTGCATCAGTCTGAAGGACACTTTCCTGGACCTTTCAGAAAGAAAAAAAAAAAAAAAAAAAAACCAAACCCAAACCCAAAACAAAATCAAAACCCTTGAAACAGAGAAGAAATTGGCTCTTTCTTCAGTGGGATATGAAGCATGTAAGGCATTTCCCCCCCTCCTTACTCCTCAGCTTGGTGCACGTTTGCCTGGGTGAGTACAATCATCACTTTGTTAAGTGAAAATATAGGCGGATGCAAGCATAACCTTAAATCCTGTAGTAATCCTTACTGATGTGGTAATGTTGTCCTGAAATATTTTCCTTGGCAACTGATCCCTGTGCAAATGTTACCCTCTGTGTTTATATATTTGGAGTTTTGTTTCAAATGGGCTATTTTGAATCTATAACAGTCAGTCAGTAGAATGACAACTAATTTGTTGTTTCTTGTTGTCTTTCTTTTAACTTTGGTTGCTGTTGTCTGGCAGCAAGTAAGTAACTATTTAATTATGGCTAATTGTTCATGCAGTAGGCATAATTTTAAGACAATGTGCTTAGAACACTGGGTAAGGTACCGAGGCACTGGGAAAGTTTCGTATTTGCACGTATAGAGTAGGGGAGACATATACAGTCATTGCAAGCTGAAAAGGTTAATTTTGTAATGAGCTGTCTGAAACTGAGATTTTATTTTTAGCGAGATCCTGTTACTTGATTTGTTTCTGTTGGGTTGTTTGAGGTTTTATTCCATATAACACTCTCTGTTTGCTGCTGTGTAAATACTGCACACAGTGGCACGTAAAAGTAATTTTATGAAGAATATCTGCACAGATACAGTTCTCAAAGTCCATTGCAGCAACTGGGTATGTTACGCACGCATAGTATTCCCAAAACAGCTCGTGTTTACTGAGAGTCAGGTAACAAAGCCAAATAACTGCCACGTACAAAATGCTTTTCTTTGGCTTCTGTTTTGTTTTAATTGCAGTTCAGGCAAATTATGCCCCCTATTTCTTTGATAATGGAGCCAGAAGCACAAACGGGAACATGGCACTTCTCAGCCTTTCAGAGGACACACCTGTTGGTCAGTATTAAAATCAGTATGCTTAAATTGTGAAACTGGAGCTGCTTGCTCTTTTGATTAGCAACATGTATTTCCTTGTAGGTTGCTGTCATATACTGTGGTCTTACATGTTTTTCTCTCAAGCTTTTAATTAGCCTCAATTTAAAATGACATGTTGGAACTGTAGCTGTAATTTAAAACATAAATTTTAGCTTCTCTTTTCTCCTTCATCCACCAATCTATTCACAGTATCAGAGCACAGACCTTTGGGGTCAGAAATAAATTCATGGTGATGAAGGACTTCTTACCAGTTCTGTGAATGCTTATGAGAAGAAAGCCTAGTTGCTTGTAATTTTATCAACCTTAGTAAAAGCAAGCTGTACATTGAAAACTAACAGAGGGGTGATTCTCTTTAAAGAGAGTTATCACACTTTTCTTGTTTACAGTACAAATGGTAGAAAATGTTTCTACCTGGAGTGAAAATTGCTTTGTCTAAATAACTGATGTTTTTCTTTAAAAAGGTTTAGTTTTGGTTTATTTTACTGAAAATTTGAAAACTGATACTTTTTTTAGCTTTCAGTATTTTGAAGCAGGTCTATTTATGCTTCTTTTAACTGCAGTTGCATTTAGAAAAAATAAATGAGAACAAAACGGTGATTTATAATCAGTATTTTCCATGGGGGAAGAATAATTTCCTAACATTGAAAAAAATTTTATGTCAGTTTTATTACAGTGATGAACACCACCTTTTCTTCAAACACTGCACTGAGGTTTTGTTTAGGATTTGCTCCTGTTTTTCTGTAGTTTTTACAAGCAAATCAGGAAAGTATTTAGCATTGCATATTAAATACCAGAGCACCCATTTATTAGCTGCTTCATGCATAGAGGGAGAGAGATAGCTGCACCCAAAACCCTCCCCTCCCAGGGCTTAGGCAGCTGGGGGAGGTGAGGGTGAGGGAGGGATCCAAAGGTCATAGCCTCCTTCGGAGGTGCTGCCTTTGCCTTCCTAAGCACGACTGGGGTCACACTGCTTTGGGAAGCAGCTGCCTGGGGTTTGCTGAGAGTCTCCATTTCTGGCCCCATGGTGTTAATGCCAGCCAAGATCCACACCAGGCATGCCAGGGGGTTGGGAGAGGGTGATGGGGAAGTGGTGGCTTCTCCTTTGCCTGCTCAGCCGGAGAATAGGAAGGGGAGAAGGTGGCACGTAGCGTAGAAGTGACGCACCTAGCCTATGAACTTAAAAAGAGCTTGCTTATGATGCAGGAGGGATTTGCTATAAGCTTGGTGAAGCTTAAGTGGAAACCTTAGCTGAAGGCCAGCAGTAATGTACTGGCACTTGCAAAAGCCAGAGGCAGACCAAGGAGCTGCTGTAATTCTGCCTGGATTCACGTGGAAACCGTACTAGCTCAGTCTTGGCAATCTGGACAGCTCTGCTGATGGCTGGAGTAAGATTAGCCAGTGGAATCACTTGTCTAGTAGTGTAGATAAGGCTTGTAATGCCAGATAGCCACAAAATGGGACCCTGACGGAGTTTGTTTAGGGCAGCGCTTGCCAATTCCGCCACTCAAACTGCCGGCAGTACAACTCACTCCCATGCCCTGGTGTGGTGCCAGCTCACAGACGTTTCCCAGGCATCAGCCTCTCCCAGCCACCTGCATGGGGATGGGGATCTAACGATGGCACAGAACCACAACACAGGCAAAAACGTCCTTCATAACAGGACTGCAGCGCCACATGGTCTCTCAGACAACAGCACTCCCTGCAGCAGTAAATACAGCAGTAATTTTCCAGCGCAACTGATCTGGGGCTGCAGGCAGGCAGAAAAGCAGAGTGGGCATGCCTCAACAGCACAACAGCGGTGTGAGGGATCAGAGCCCGTGCTCGTGTTCCTGTAACTAGCCTGAGTAACAACAGCAACAAACGTATGACAGGCTTTGCGTGTGCCGTTGTAACACTAGCAACCAGGCTGGGTGCGCAGAGGTCCCTGGGGAGGTTATGCTTTGGTTGCAGCAGTGATAAAGCTCAAGCTGCTCTGTCTTCAGTGCTGCTGTTTCTCATGTCTGTTGTCTTCATCCAGAATGTGCTTACGTGTGTTTACACTGGCTGGTTTGTACTTCTAATTTGCTGCATAGATTTGCTTTGAAAGACAAGAGAGAAGCAGATTCTGGCTTAAAGCTCCAAAGGTGCAACCAAAAGCATTTCTCTGAAAGGTTAGGGAGTGTTGTGTTTAGGCTTTTGCAAAGGACCTGAAGAAACCCTTGGGAAAGGGAGAACAACTTACTTTTGAGAAGCCCAAAGGTGGTAGCTTTGCCACACAGCTCCCAGTGCTTCCTTGGGCTAATTCCCAGAACACCTTGACTAAAAGCTGTAAATACTACAAGGTCTTCTCTTCTGAAAGTTCCCTTGCAGCATGGCTGCTTGGGGTTTCCTCAGTGCTACCCACCGCCCAGGTCAGCACAGCCATGCCTCGGGGATGATTTCCCAGGGAGGTCCCAGAGGAGGGCACAAACACCACTGGTGCTTCCATGTTTCAGTGCCAGGTGTGCATTTAGAGGACCAGTGTTCCCATCAGATCACAGTCAGAGCTTCCTGCCAGAGTTCAGCGAGGGCTTACACACTGCCTAGGCCAAATGGCTGCCAGACTGGCCCTTTTCTGTGGCCCCAGTAAGGGGTCTCACACCACAGAGGAGGCTGTTACTCTTCATCACTCTGCCACAATCTCCTCCAGAAGAAGGAGAAGGAATCTGGTATCGTGTGTCCATGAACAGTCCTGAGCATCCACGTTCTGGCAGTCATCTTTCAGTTTGAGCAGGATGATCAGTGACAAAACAGGGAGATTAAAACTTCCACATTTGATTCTAGATGACTTTAGTCAGGCTTAGGTGTTGCAAAAGTGGGCCTGTTGCCATTATCTCTTACCTGTGCTCACATAAAATTTGGAATCATAAGCAGGATGCTTTTCTTGGCATCAGCTAGCATCTGATCTGAGCAATGTTATGAGCAGCAGCTTTAGTAAACCTCCAGGAATTTCACAGTCTTTGGCCCTGCTGAGATTACAAGCAGTTGGCAAAGTGGTGCATGTTAGACTGTGGATTCTCTGTGTCTGTAGAAAGAGAAAATGCAGTGCTGCAGCTGCATGAACACATCAAATTAAAGAAAATCACATTATCATGTTCATATCATCCTTAACTTGACCTTCTTTTCCATTTTGCAACTGTGCTTACTAACAGATAGTTGTGATCTACCAAGTTACCTACACTGTGATATAAGATATGGTAAAAACGGCAAATACTATTTCTGTGTGTAAGCTTGAAAGTGTCTGCAATTTCCCAGATCCTGCTTATTGCTGCAGAGCATGAGACCCCTCAAGGTGAGAAGGGCCAGAACAGTAGCCCCTTCCAGTGCCAGATTTAAAAAGAATGGGAAAAGCTATGTCCTGAAATAGCAGTTGCGGTTTGTGTGGCTGTTTGACAGGGCAGGTGGGTGACTAGCTCTTTGCAAAGAGTTGCCTGTGTACATACAAAATGCACGTGTGCTCCTAATCTAGGTCTTAGGGCATGTGTGGGATGCTATTTCAGGTTGTTTGTTTCATCTTACCTCATTAATCCCTGTAAGCCCTCATGGTGGAGACAAATGGGACTGAGAAGAGCTGCAGAGCAAGGGATGGAAGCATAGTCAGTGGGCCTAAATGCATCGCTCTCCCAGGGCCTAGGCATCATCAATGCTCTGGAGATCTTGGCATGCCTCTCATCCTTGCATTTTTCCTTTCCGTTTTTCCCCAGTCTCCCAAGTATGCACACACCACCACCTGCCTCCCATTAATAGCCCGTTTGCAGTGGCAGTTCTCCTTTGATCACAGGTACAGCTGCCTACTGGTGGCTAACTGACCACTTCAGGTCCTCCATCCTTCTAGCTTCGCCCATTGTTCCTGCATGATCCTGGTCTTGCTTCTTGCCATCATTCACAGCTGGCTGTGGAAAACCCTCTTGTCCTCTCTGGTACCCACTGTTCCTTTTTGTTCTGTCACCCTGTTGCTCCCCTTGCTGGTGAGGCTCCCTGCTCATGTGTTTCCTGGTCTGTCCTTCAAGGCTGGAGGACCTCCCCCCGGCATTCTGCTGTCCCTCTGCATGTGCTTTTGTATTTCTGTTGTGCTGGTTTTAGGTGGGATAGAGATAGTTTTCCTCACAGTAGCTAGTCTATGTTAGCTAGCTGTGCTATGTTTTGGTTGTGCTGAGAAGAATATTGATAACTTACTATTGGTTTTAGTTTTTGCCAAGCAATGTTTATATCAAGTCAAGGAGTTTTTCAGTTTCTGACACTGCATTGTGCTCCCAGCTTCTTCTCTACAAGAAGCTGGGAGGTGACACAGCCTGTACAGCTAATCCAAACTGACCAAATGGATATTTCATGCTATCAAATGTCATGCTTGGTATATAAGTTGGAGCTGGGGCTTAGTTATGGCTAAAACACAACAGGCATGCTCAGGAAGGAGTATTAGCTGATAGCAAATGGGAAAGGAGACGTTTTTGAGGTAGTCTTGGTGTGTGGTCCGTGTCCTTCAAGAGCCTGAGCTCCCCTGTGCTTGCAGTATAAAACAGCCATCTGTTGGCTGTGTGTTAACTTCCCATCACCTTTTCTGGTGGGCAAAAGGGCCTTTGGCTGAAACAGGCAGAGAGCAGGTGTGTAACTCCAGGCAAGGTGGTATTTGCTGTGATATTGGAAACAGAGGTGTTCTGTCCTGGGAGCACGGCCATGGATGTCCCTCTCAGCATCATTAACAGATGTCAGCTGTGGTGGCAAAGGACAATGGGGAGACTGAGCATGAGTCCAAAATGTTTGGCTTGTTTAACTTGGCAAGGAAGGAATTTGATTGCCGAGTGTCACACAGCAGCAGAGAGGGAGAGTGTGTCTTCAGTGAGAGGGCAAAACCAGCCCCAGAGAGTATGGACAGAGGCTGGCTATGAATAAATTTGAGTCAGAAATGAAATAAAATGGAGCAATGGCATCATGGGACAGCCATTCAGCCTGAGTGGCAGGAGCAAAGAGCAAATGACTTTTAAGATGGAATAGGAAAACGGAGAAGCAGCCGTGGCACAAAGCAGTGTGCAGTTCCCCATGACTTCCCTATCCAAGCCTGCTGCACTATCCCCTAGGTACCTGGAGCACCCAGCTTTTCCGACCAGGGTCCTTACATGGCATTTGCCATATCCCTGGGTAGAGACTCTGCTATTCTCTTATCTTTCTGATGGGGGAGGCTGTTTATTTGGCACTCACTGATAAGATTTTACCTGGATGTTTTCATTTATTTTCTTTTCAGCAAGTGGAGGCAGAACTCTGAGAGGAGATTTTTAATTGGGATTAACACTGTGCTGAGATGTGTTCCCAGGGTGTTAATGATATAGAGAGTATTGTGCAGTGAAATTACAATTCAGACAAAATCAGGAATTATAATGAGGTAGAAAAGAAATTCTGATCCACAATCCAATTTAAAAGCACACAAGTGTCCTGTATTATGAAAAATGAAGAACTATCAGCACTGGCTAGGAAGCAAACCGTCCAGTGTAAAGATCAACGATGTCCTTCATTGCTGATGAATGAGCTACCACCAGCGTCGGTAGGTCAGGGCAGCCCCAGTCACAGTGCTGGACCTTGTGCGTGGTTGCTAGGGGTCTCTCAGAGCCTGTGCATATGTGGGTTGTGGTGCCCATCCTGTTGCAGCGTTGTCGAGCAGATGCCACAGACATCCACACGAGCTGGAAACAGGCAGGGCAGCCAGCAGCATTTCTCTGTACTTACACACTACAACCAAAGAAGTGTCTTTCCCTTAATAATTTTGAGGGATCTCAGTTACAGATGTGTTGTTATTTTCTGCTCTGTTTTGTCGGAAAAGTCCAAGAAGAATGTTGAAAGTGTTTTGTATTTTTGTGAAGCAGTTTTACAAATCTTGACTGTTTGTTGGCTGGCTGAGCCAGCTTGTAACAGGGTCTGGTTTTTGTGCTCCTGTGGGCCTGTTGGTTTTTGCAGTGTGAACATTTTTCTGTACAAAGTTGCCCAAATACTTCCCTAGTAATTATCATGAGAGATAACCAAACATCAACCAAAGCTTTACATTAAACAAAAGCTTATGGATCTAGTCAGTGAAAAACTCCACTGCCCCTGCAGAGGATAGAATGAAAAGATTATGACTTCTGTGTACAGACTTAAAAATCTCTCAAACTCAGGGCCAGAGTAGTTTAAAACTGGAGTATTCTGTGTTCCCTTTAACAGTGTTCTTCCTTTATGCTAACTTCCTTAGCAGGGATCCTCCCATCATATCTCTGTGTCCCATGCACAATTAAAACTCACTCCTAACCAGCGAGTCCCTTGGCTATGGTATTTCCAGTGTGGAGAACTTTGTTAGATGTAAAACAGAGTTTCTGTTCTGAACCTCTGCAACTTGAATAGCTGAGGTACTTAACACAAGGCACAGCAGACTGGAAGGAAAGAACAACAGTGGTTTATATTTCAGGCTCAGCTAACTGATATTTTTAAGTTATTTTGATGAAGATACTAGTGCATGGTAGAATGATAGACATGTAAGTTTAAAAAAATAGTATTTAAACCCTCGTCATGTTTTCAAAACATTGGTGTTATAACGCCCCCAGAAAGTAACGCTTCTGATAAACAAAGTCAGGTTACTGGAAGAACTGACACCAACTTCTCAAATCTTTAAAAATAGAAATAACGATCTCTCTTTCCTCAGCTTGTGAAAGAAATAGATTGAGTTTGGCGAATTTATTCATTTGTATGAGCATGAGTGGGTGTGTCAAACCACCCACTTTTAATGAGGAGGAGTGAAGTAGGAAGGAAGCCTTTTGCGTCTGTTAGTTCTGCGAGTGGAAAAGTCTGCAAATGTCCTTGCATCTCTGAGCTTCAGAGCCTGGGTCCAGTCCTGTGGGAGCACTGCCTTCAGTTGCCAGATCCTCTGCCTGCTGGTTTGCAATTCCAGTGCGCCCATAGAGCAGAGGTGTGTGAGGGCCTTTTGGTACTGTCTGTATTGTCACCCGGTCATACAACATCATTGCTTCTGACTCCCCTGGGCTGACAGTTAGTCTGGAGCTTGTCATTTATCTAAACACTATGATGTGAAGAGCGTTGATCCAGGAGTGGTTCACAGGAAAAGGCCTGAAGTGAGAGAAACCAGCACTGATAAACTCGGTTTAAGAAGGAGGCTAAAAAGTGGTAATCGGGACTGTTGAACTGCCTACTCACCCCTATTTCCCAGTAAGTGGGTTTGATTCCCAAAAGCTTTGCCTGCCACAGGATAGCTAAGTGCTGAAGGAACAAACCAGTGAAATAATCACTGATGGAAGTAACCACAGGGAAATGCTGTTGAATGCCAATTTTTCAGGTACCCACGTCTACACTCTGAATGGAACTGATCCAGAAGGAGATCCCGTGACATACGGCCTGGCCTATGAAGCTGGATCAAGACGCTACTTTTCTGTTGACAAGAACGTTGGAAATGTTACGCTGATCGAGGAGCTTGACAGAGAGGTACGGTGAAATGGCACCACACTGTGTGTTTGTGGAATTTCCTTCAGTTTAATTTGATCTGTGGCTTGGAAGGACAATGCCAACTTATTTGCCCCTGAAATCTGTAATATACTCTGCAATTCTGAGACATTATACTTCACCCACTACGTGGTTTTCCAGTTGGCTTGTGCCACTGACACTGCTGTCAATTTTTTCAGCAGCTGTCTGTCCAACTTTTGCCAAAAGAGTAGTTTGCACTTTACTCCTGTCTTCCCCCACCCACACCCCATCCAGAGCAGAGGGGCAGTCACAGTCCGCTGATCCTCAGGCAAGGGACCTTCTGGTCATTAGGAAGAAGCAGAGATTTGTGCAAGCAGTGTTCTAGGACACCTCGCTACTTATATCATAGCCCTTTAGCCCATGTAACCATGTGGGTTGAAGATGTTCCCAGCAGTACTGTCCTAAAGGCAGCCTTATTCTGGGAACACAGGCATTGAATTTTCTATGCCTCTTTCACAGAGAAGTACTTGTAAACCCTTCAAAATGCTGTATACTGAGATAGAAGAATTTTGAACCAATCATGCATTTTTAGGGAGTGTTTCTTCAAAAAGGTGAGTTTTCACTAGCACTTTACAGGACAACAGAGATTCCCAGGCCAGCCATCTCTTGACAGTAGCCACAAAAAGTCCAAGGAGCCCTGTAGCTGGAGCCTCTGAGAGGTCTTCCCAGCCTCTGCTGTGATTGCTTTATGGTATTAGTTGTCACTCTCATCTACCTACTGAAACACATTTAAAACCACAGTTCCTTTTCCAATCAGGGCAAACACCATCTTGCTAACAAAGGAAATTTCTTGGTTTACAGAAAGAAGATGAAATTGAAGTTATTGTCAGTATTTCAGATGGCCTGAGTACAGTAAGTATTTAATTATGCTGTAGCTTGTCTAACTGTCCTCACGTACCTCTTCCTATTAAATTACCTTACAGGGACTAACTCATTTTACCAGAAAACATAATCTCATTAGAGTCTTACCTCCTGTTTCAAGAGCCACTGAACTCCCAGTAACTCAAGTCTTATTCCATCTCCTTGCTCAGCTATTTGGGGATAATTACAATGTATTGTGAGCTGAAAGACTGACTTAGTGGCCTGCAGAACTACAGCAGCTTCCTATGAAGTTTCCCTGTCAACTCAGTAGGTTTCATACCTAAGAAAGATCTGGAGGCTTTTTGGAGGAGTGTGTGACATTATAGTAATATTGGACACCCAGGAGCTGACCGTCCCTCCACCCCCCGCAGTGTTTCTCCAGTACGACATTAAGAAGATTTGCTTAGGCTAAGGTGGTGGGAGTTTTCTTGTCTGCTGCTGAATAAAGCTTTGATCGCGTCTAATCTTTAAGGACTTATCTGAGACATTGCACAAGCATCCAACCCTAATTCTACAAATTTCCTTGGCATTTTCAATTTATAGATGGGTGCTGTCACAGCCAGGATATTACTCTGCCAATAAGAGGACCTGGGCTTCACCACTAGAGGTGCCAAAAAAGTGAGACCTTCTTACTATCCATAGTAAGAATAGATAACTCTAGAGCAATTGTGATTGCTACAACAAATGTTTGGGAGGTGCCAGCATCCTACAGGCATAACTGCCCTGGAAACCTCTGTAAATAGGAAATAGTGGGATCATGTCCACATCTCCACTTGCAAACAACTGTGAAGTCTTTTTGGTCAAATACATTTGTTTTCTGCATTTTTAGAAAGAGAACAAAATGGATTGTTACATATTAGTAGCATGTATTTGTACATCCAAATTACACATGTTATTAACCTAGCATCATATCGAATGAGACATTAGTGAATGCTCTTGGCTATCAAGTACCAATATTTGCAGTCTTTTGTGTATTGTTTTAAAATATATCATGGTATCTTGAATGCCCTGAAGAAGAAGGAAGACTTTTGAAAATCAGCCCCAATCTGTAATTTATAAAGTACTCTGAGACTCCTTAATTAGCTTTGAGATATCTGGGTGTTCTCCACAAAGCAAATTCTTCTGGATTATGGGATTTTCTGTGTTTTCTTTTATGTGTTTGGTTTTGGTAGTGTAAAGATACTCTTACAACATAATTTTTCATTGCCTTTGACTACACCTTAATAGGCAAATGAACAGTTACGTGTTGAAAATCAGCTTGAGTCATAAGATGTTTTTCATGTTCTGCTCCAGGTTTCTGAAAAAGTGAGGATCCTTGTAATGGATGCTAATGACGAGAGCCCAGAGTTCATCAATACACCTTACATAGTCCAAGTCCCAGAGGTTGGTGAAGATCCTTTGCATGCCGGAAGTATATTTAAATAGGATGTAAAGAGGAGCTAGTATGTTTTCAGTAAAACAAACAAACAAACCAAACCAAAACAAAACAAAAAACACCCAACCCAAGATGTGCAGGACTAACTTGCATTCTTTTGGTTTAGGGTTTGGGTAGATATTTAATACTCACTGCAAACTTAAGGAATAAGTCTGTAGGTACTTAAGGTGTGCTGTTTTGTGGGAAAGTGCCAAGATGTGAGTAATTGGGAGTTTTTAGAAGTTACTTCAGTGGGAATAGGATGCACTCTGTCTTAGCTGAGATTTTCTGTAACTTTAATTTCAAAAAGCTTTTCTTCCTTGTTGTTCTCCAGTTTCCTCCATTTTTAATCTCTTCCTTCTTTTCTTTCTGCTCTTTGGTTCCCCCAATGCATTTATATTCTTTTTGCCATCACTCTCTTTTTCTGCTACCTTGCATGCCCATTTTTCACTTCTAACCACCTGGTTTTCCACTTCTTTGACTGGTAACTCTTTCTGGTCACAGAACACTCCCTCTGGCAGCAGTATCTTTAAGATTGAGGCAGTGGACAAAGACACAGGTTCTGGAGGAAGTATCACCTACTTCTTGCAGGTAAGGTATTACCTGTACCTTCAAAAATCATCTCTCATGTACTGAGATCTCAGAAATCAGGTTAAAAAATATTTTAAGGGTTGAGCCTGCTGCTAGTGTCTATAGGACCAATTTTGTACCGTACACAAGAAGTAAGTATTGACAAAATGGATATTGTCCGATTGCAAGCAGCCAAGTGCAGTCTAGCAGGCAGCAGAATGAGCTGGAGTTGCCACTCTTGCTCCCATGCTTGCCAGCAGGACTCCTCACAGGGTTCTTATTGGTCCTTTCTTTGGAGTGATGGGGAGAGCAAGTCTGACTTGTAATCTTGTATGCATATGGGATTTCTAAAGCATGAAATAGCTTTGCATGAAAAATAAAATGCACTAGAAACCCAAATGTGCACTTTGATGTAGCCGGCTGGTATGTAATTGAGACCTGAATCACTGTGAAAGGTGAGGTACTAAATGCTCTCACTGAAAGCCTTGAAACCAGCCTTTCAGTTCTTACCCACTGGTGAAGAGCAGGAAGTGCTCCATATTTAAGGCTGAATGTCTGTATTACAGACCTTCTGCATGCCAAAAGGACAACTTTTTGCATTATATCCTTCAAATTCCTTCTTCCTAGAAGCAGCTTCATGCATATTAACTGCAATTCCCCTTATTCAAGAGGCAACACAGAAAAACCCAAAGCCAATTTTTGCAATATTTACTTTGGATACAAATATGTAAACAAGTTGGAAGATATTTACATAGCACTAAAGCTAATCCTGTTAAGAGCTTGGGCATACTGTGCAAGAACACCTTGAGTGCCTTGTTGAAATTTAGTCTTGATTTCACCAATTGGGATCTATTTAAAAGAACAATATGTGCAGGATTCAATTTGGCACAGGGCTTTTTCCAGTAAGCTGATGAACTATGAAGCCAAGGGACAGCAATTTCAAACTTCTCTGTTTAGTTGATATTCTTGTGTGGCAAAAAGGATACTGAACACATGTATTTGCAGAAAAAATGTTGCCATGTCTTTTGGCACAGTCTCTGGGAATTGTCAAGTTGCACAGAAAAAAAACCCTCCAAAAGTCTGATGTAGGCAGGTGGTGATGTCTCCTGAAAAGACCAAGGTTATCCAACAGTGGCCATTGTGTAGGGATACCCAAATTGGAGGTGTCTTTATAGCTACTTCCAGTCCAGAAGAATGGAAGGAGACCTTTTTTTAGGCCTTTTTGTGGGAATCGGATGTCTTTTAGGCTTTATTTGTACATCACAAAAGTCACCAAAACAGCACTTGAGCCAGCAGAACTTTGAAACACTAAGGGATAACACCTTTTGTCTTCTTCCTTTTCCTCTCATCTTCTTTTCTGTTACTCCTCCCTACCTCTTTCCATGCAATGAACTGTGTTAACCAAGATTTAAGATTTCACAATGAAATACTAAAAGATTAAAAAAATCTACATTGCAGGTAACCGATTTATTCTGAATAATGAGAGACTTGCGGTTGGTTCATGAATTGTTCATAAACACACAGAGGTGAAATTCATCAAATACATTATTCACCCAAATCGTATCATTATTCCAGTCTATTCCCTTAGCAGATGAAATAAAAGATGAATCCCTACGGCAATCTTATTTCCATACCTATAATCTCTCACTGTTTCTTCTTTCCTTTTCTTCTAGAACATCCATGCTAATAAGTTTACAATAGACCGTCACAGTGGTGTCCTGCGCATCAAAACAGGGATCACCCTGGATTATGAGAAATCAAGAACACATTTTGTTGTCGTCGTGGCCAAGGTATAAAGCTTTTATCTGAAACAAGAGGGGTGGGATCGGGTCGGTATTTGAGTAAGACCAGTAAGCTTAAGTATAAGGGTTGCTGGAACATGAAGCATAACCTTAGGCAGCAGAGTCACTCCCTCTGTAATGTCTGGAAGCATGGGGGTAACGTGGAAAAGCGAGGGAGGAAAGGTGGCCAGTGTCTGACACTGAACAATGTCTGGAGGCATTGGAAAGTGCGTATCCCGCATCTCACTCGGGCCCCAGTGCCAGGACAGTGACGCCACGGCAGAAAGTCACCCCTATGTTTTGAGAGTCACCGAGAAGTGAAGGGTTGGTGTATGCAGCCTGGGCTCCAAGAAGCATCAGTCTTTGGGCAAGCACAGGTGCCCAGGGCATGGCCCTACCCCCACAAGGACAAAGGCAGGCAGCACGGGTCGCGGTCATTAGCCACAGGAAGACACAGCGACCCAGGGCAGCACAATTGACAACCTCCTTTTCTGAAAATATCTGTGAATGTTTATTTCTTTCATTCCCCTCCTGCCTTGTGGCAGGAACTTATTCAAATCCTTCGAATATTGCTGCACATCCCTTCTTGCCACTGTCATTCCCGGCAGTGCTGCGCCTGTGGCATGGCTGAGGATTCATAACAGGCATAAAAAGTTTATGGATGCTGAAGTCTCGTCTCTCAGGATCCTGTGGGGATCTGTCACACAGACAGACTTGCATGGGTGGAAAGAGGACTGACTTTGCTGCTACTTTTGGAGACTTTGACTTTCTCGTGTTTTATGAAAAATGTACAGATCTTTATGTATGTATTTAGCTAGGGTTCATTTGAGGAGAAGTAACAAGATTTGGCTTAAATACTGCCTTTGGGACAATAAGGAGAGAAAAAAATGAGCATGTCTTTTCCAAAAAATGGAATTTTTAGAATTAGTACAGCAGAAGACATGCTGAACAATTCACACTTATGCACCAGCATGAGTACTGACCTCCAGCCGCTGCTCTGAGGCTGAGGGTGTTAAAAGCTTCTGAAATTGCAAGTCATCTTTCTAATTGGCTCTGCTGTATCAGTAGCACAGAGTCGATTGTAGTCAAGTCCCCGGAGACTGTTTATACACTGTGGCTATCTAACCATTCTTGGCTGCACAGCTCCTCTGTGCTTTCATTTTATCACGTAAGAGTTCCCAGGAGACTTTGATCATGTGCACTGTTTAATTTCCCCCTAGAAATGCACTGCCCTTCTACTCTCTTGTGTTTATGACAAGACTGTATGTGGGATGAAAAGCTGTAGACCTTTGTCACTAACTTTTTGCATCAGTTTCTAGATTATTTTTTTTCCCCACAATAAACCCCTGAGTTCCCTCTCCCCTGTGTTGTTGATAAAAGATCATGTATGACTGCAAATATTGACACAAACACTTTTAATATATGGAATTCCTTCTGAGACACTGCAAGCTGCCTTCCTAATCAGAGAGGGAGCAGGATAAGTGAAAAAAAGAAGGGAAAAGGGCAGCAGAAAAGGGTTTCCTGGGGCTCCTGAAGGCTTATGAGGTACATCCAGTAGCATAAGCTGATTTGCAGACATGTTTCAGCAGGGGAATCTCATGATGACTTCTCTTCTAGGATGGTGGTGGGAAACTCAGGGGAGACAACAAGGTGTTTTCAGCCACAACAACCGTTACTGTCAATGTGGAGGATGTCCAGGACACTCCTCCCATGTTCATCGGGACTCCTTACTATGGCTATGTCTATGAGGATACACTCGCAGTAAGTGCTGGGTTTTGCCTGTACGAGAACACATGCAATCTTTCTCATCGCAGCCAAAATGGTCCTATGGTTTCTAGCGCAGGCCTTATTGGAAACTGGGACCTAAACTCTGATTGTTAGGTGAAATGAGCTGACCAAATGTCAGACTTGTTATTTACATCTATTGCAAGTCTGCCTTGCTGTGGCTTCCTACTGCTGTCATTAAAGTCAAAAAGGATTCTCCCGGTTATGTTGATCTAAGCCCAGACTGTGACTACGAGCTTTTTGGTAGCTGAGGCCTGCAGGAGGCCTAAGCAGGTTGCCAGTTACCTCACCTGAACACATGATGGTAGAAGCTTTTGTGTGTTCTTGTGCTGTGCGGTCTGGCAGGGCTTTTATTCTCTAGCTGATCAGTCTGCTACCAACAGCTGGTTGTGCAAGGTGTGGGGACAATTATGCCCAAATGCTCTAGACCCTCTGTGCTATCCCATGGACATCACCTGGGGAGAAATATTCCTGACATCCCCAAAATGCAGTCTGTTTTCTGCTCAGTGATGGCTAGATAGGCAGAACGGGCCAAGAAGTTCTCCCAGGCCTAAAACCCACCAGATTATCAAGCAGGTGGGGACATACGGAGGAGAACTACTTACAGGTGGGGACACTGCATTTGTTGGCATCTGTCTGTGCCTGAATATGCCACTTCATAACTCTCACGGACACAGAATCCAAGGAGCATACTGAGCTCCCGGCAGTGTCATCACCTCAGAAATGCCTAATGACATATTTGCTTAAGAAAGAGTATACAGCTTAGCAAATTAGTTTATTATATCCACCATGATGGTTTCAGCCACATATTATTCTTGAAGCTGCAAACTAATGAATTTTTTCTGAGTAGTGTCATGATATTGTGTATGGATCAGCTTTCACCCTGATACATAAGATTTAATTAGAATTTTCTTCATATGTAGGGTAAGAAATGGTATCTACTCATGAAATTACCCAACATTAGACTGTTGATGTCTTTGGCAGTGTGACTTCACACTGTTCACCTGATCTTCTCTAGAGTTTCAGGAAAGATAGTGTTACTTCTGTCCAGAACTACAAGGTACACTGCAGCCTTCCATGACTCTAGATTACAGTTCAGTGCATAGGCTGTTACATTTCAGCAGGGCAGAAAAGCAATGCTTGTGTACTTTGCAGATGTTTGGAATGAATAATATTATGTATATTGATTTATTCTGCATAGTTACATATAGATCTTGAAATAACTATCAGGTGCACACAGGAGTTAGTGTTTACTGTGGAAATGGGAGTTAATAAATGTTAATTACATCCAGCTTGAGCTCATAAGTTACACCATTATGATATTATAATGATGGAAGGCATGAATCAGTCCTTCCCAGTGTGGGTTTTGCTATTGCAATGAACGCCACAGAGGGAGACGCACTAGCTGATTTTAGTGTTGTTTACACGTTTGGTGTTAATTTTGTAAACTTGCTTCTTTCCTCCTTGGTGAAGTTGTCAGGATTTACAAGTACTCTGTCACCTTCAAAGCTACCGCACTGTTTTTTGCCCAGTAGGCAGATTTTATTGCAGCTTCCAGCATAAATGATAATAAAGACAGTTCTGTATTTCCAGTTGCTCAACAGAACTTTGGTCTTGTTTGAAAAATTCGCTCAAGGGTTGTCATGAAAATATTCCTTGTTGCCATTTGTGATTAACTGACAGTTACTTCAACCTTCCCTGGTTTTGCAGCCCCAAACAGTAACACTTCAGTTGAGAGGCCTGAATTGCACAGCCCATTGCCGCTTCGGTGAGCATTTCAGTGCTGACAATCGCCATCCCTCTGAGCTGGTAGGAGTAGTCACACAAGTAGGTGGTCTCCAGAACACAAGTTCTGTACACATGGCCCACGGCCACGTTACTTGTGCAGAAAGAACAACAGTGAAGCTTTAAGGACAATCAAATCACCATAATTTTATGCCCTAAATGTTCTGTGGGCCAAGTTGCTTTGTGATCTCTGCTTTTGCTGCCTGTCTGAACTTAATTAGTAGGACAAAAATGGCCTGGTGCCCCCTCAGCAGCTGCCTGTGTCTCTGCACACTGTGCGGCCATGGGGCAGGCAGCGACACAGCAGCTACTGGAGGAACTTTTGGTAGTCACCCACACTAAAGCACATTGCTTACTCTAAATCCTCTGTCCAAGTCTGTGCCTCAAGGCAGGTGTCCCTGACTTTGGCTTCCGACTGCTGCTGAGCCAGCCAGCCCCTGGAGCTAAGGCAGCGGTGGCCACAGGGGGTCTGTGGCCATTTCACGCCCATGCCATTGTCACTGCCCCAGCAGTGGGCCCAGAGCAGCAGTTGGGAGCATAGCAGTGCTCCCATTTGTCCTCTGCTGCTCACCAAAGCTGAGCTGGAAAAAGGGACAAGAGGACTGGGCACTGGGCAAGCTGGCACCGGTGTCTTGGCAGATAAGAAGCCCCAGCCCTCCCAGGGCAGCTGAGGCCCACGCACCAAAGCAGGGTGCTCTGCTATCACTGCAGGCAGCAGGATGGCACTGGAAGCAGGCTGCTGGGGGCAGGTCACCCAGCAGATCCATAGGGAATGAGCAGCAATGGGTGTGCCCCACTTTGTATGGAGGTACAGTGCATGGACTGCAACATCAGTGGGGACAACTGAAACTGCCCATGTATGAACAACATGGAGTTTGTCCGAGGAGGAGTGCTCAGCTCCTGTTCTGCAAAGCCAAGCACTGATTTTTTTCCTGAGTGGGAGTCAATAGCCCTTGCTATGTTGCCCATAAAGCATATGCAAAAGCACCCCATCTCCCACACACACCTCACAGCAGATCTACAGGAGCTCAGTTTCATAGAATCACAGAATGGTTTGGGCTGGAAGGAACCCCAAAGGTCACCTAGTTCCAACCCCCCTGCCATGGTCAGGGACACCTTCCACTAGACCAGGTTGCTCAAATCCTTATCCAGCCTGGCCTTGAACACTTCCAGGGATGGGGCATCCACAGCTTCTCTGGGCAACCTGTTCCAGTGCCTCACCACCCTCTCCAGGGAGAATTACTTCCTGATATCCAATATAAATCTCCCCACTTCCAATTTAAACCCGTTACCCCTTGTCCTGTCACTACAGGCCCTTGTAAAAAGTCACCCCCACAGCTTTCTTCTAGGCCCCCTTCAGGTACTGGAAGGCTGCAATAAAGTCTCCATGGAATCTTCTCTTTTCCAGGCTGAACAAGCCCAATTCCCTCAGCCTTTCTCTCATCCTGGTTTATTAATGCACAGTTGCAATTTCACCGCTCTTTGATCTTAGCACACAGAATGTGATTTCCCATTTGTCCCCAGGGCTCTGAGGTCCTTACTGTTGTCGCTCTTGATGGAGACAGAGGAAAGCCTAACAGTATTCATTACTGCATCGTGAATGGTGAGTAGACTTCTCTTGTACGAAATCTGAAGGGCGGTTTAAACTAGATCTGACATTAAATTGGAATGGGATATGTTAGAGTTTAATAAAGCTGAGACACTCTCATGAAATAATGTGAGGTATCTCAAAGAACGCCATGATCTATCAGAGAACAGCCTAGATAGGATTCACTGAGTTTCAGTATCTGCTTCACAGAACTAGGCTTGGAGTTGCTAATGTGGCTGATTTGTTAGGCATCAGCAGCCTGCTAGTCACTTCAGAAAGCATAAAGGAAAATGCATTCACTGCTACTGAGCATCTCTATCCTTGAATCTGGGAGGTGAGAGAATGTGTCGGGAGATCCAGACATAGTATTTAGAGGGATATTTTTATTAATATGATGATTAAAGTGGCTAAACTGCCAAACCTCTGATTTCTTGGAAAAAAATTATATTTACCAGTAAAGAGACACTGGCTGTACACCGCACTGGAAGAAAAGTAGTTATTATCAGAAGGTTAATGCTTTTCATCAGCTGTTCTAAGAGTGTCTGTCACATGTCTTTTAATAACATAAATGTGAGACTTAGCTGAAACGATGATTCATTAGCTGGTGAAGGGAACGACTTAGCTCAATTAAACTCCAAGCTACAACTTTAGTTTTGTTTGGTTCTCTCTTTCTCCAAATCATGACTTCCGTAGCAACTGGGCACCCCACCTCCCAGGTGTGAGAGATCCCAACATTTCATAAAGGGAATAGGAGGTGTAGCTGCAGAGCTATGCAGCAAGTTCTTCATTGTGTTACGTGATCTAAACAGCAAGGTCTAGAGAGGACAGAGAGGGTTCTGCCTTGATGTGGGATGGGACCCTTGCTGAGGTTCCTTCTCCTCAATGCAAGGGAATATATAGAAGAGGGTAAAAGAAAGGTAGAAACATTGAGGAGGAAAAAAAGAAAGGTTGCAGAATAGAATAGATGGAAAATGAGAAAAGGTAAGAAGAAAGGTGTAAAATGAGGAGTCAAAACAAATAATTGGGATGAAAATATGCTAGACAAGGGAGAAATTGAGTAAGGAAAATAAGCAAAGACATATGAAGCAGGGAAAATGCCAAAGGCAAATAGGATTAATGAGGAAAGATATTAGATTTCCAAAGAATATAGAGAAGAACCAAAAAGGTGCTATAGGATAAAAAAGGTAACTGATTAGTAAAGAGTGGAAAATGAAGATGGAAGGGGATGACAGATAAGTAGCACAAAATACAACTTAATGGAGAGCAGGCTATCCTTATACACGTTCGCACAGGATTTTGTTAGCATGAAATAGAAAAGGGGGGAAGGGAATATGCTTTTAGTGCATAGAAAGTTGAAGAAATAGATGAAGAACAAATGAGTACAGCAGGTTTCTGCCCCTGTGCCTCGGACCCTGGCATTACTCTTGACAAGCCATAATTCAAATACTTGCAGCCTGGGTTCTCAAAGGGCAAAAAAATACTTACAGCAAATAGGAAATTATTCATTCTTTATAAGTATTTATCCAGGGGCTGTGGAATGATTTTAGAAAATACTCCAGTCCTCTGATCATGTACAAAGGAACACATAATGATACACACTCTGAGTCACCAGGTTCCCTGCGATAACCAGGCAATAACATGAAGTATGGTGGCTTGAAATCACCATTGACTTCAGCTTCTTCGCAGTCAGGATCTACTTTCCAGGCTAATGTATCTTAATAATTGACCATTATATGAGTCGATATCTGTTCAATGTTGTGTCTAGTGTACTTTAATGAAGTTGCAGTTATTGCAGGTATTAGCAAAATGGGATACTATCAGGTGGTTTAAAAATCAGCATTCAAATTGAGTTAGAGAAAAAGAAAAATGACTGGGCTTTCAGGTCATCATCCCTTATTTCTGAAGGCTTCAACACCTTCATTGTGAGGGTTTTCCTCTCTTTTCCTTTCAGTGGCAGGCTCTGCCACAAAGCATGGGTTTTGGCCAGTCCTGTACATGAGTTAGCATGCAGGGATGCCCGTAGCCCCTCAGCAGAGCCGGGCAGAGTCCCCCGAGCTGCCTGCTGGTCCCCTGCCTGGGCACCAGCCTGCTTTTGGCCCTGATGGCGAGATGGGTGCAGACATTGAGATGGACACAGGTGCTTCTCTGCAAGCTGGCATTTGCTTCAGCACAAATCCACCAGGTCTCAAGGGACTGTGGCCCTGTAACTGATCTTCTGTTTGGATCAATGGAAGTTAGGTTGGCGACAGCAAAGTCTGCCTGCAGCCCTGTCCTGCCTGTGTCAGACTCTGCCTCAAAGCAAAAAGCCTAGGTTTTATCCCAGATCCTCCCAAATCCCCTTTTTTTCAGGATAGCCTTTCAAGAGGCTGAGTTTTTAACAACTGAATGTCTAAGGCCAGAAGTTTTTTCTCCAGGGATGCTGTCTGCAGAATGAGTGACTGTCTGTCTTTCAGACAGATTGTCAGACTTCTCACCTTAGATGGTATTAGTGGGAGAAATGTTCTTGTTTCTCAGAGACTTAATTATGTATTTGCTAATTAAAAGGAAGGATGTCTATTTTTGTCTAAACCAGCATACAAAGAAGATGGCATAACAGAAATGAATGCTAAATTTGCATGCCTGATTGCTGAGCCTTGAAGGGAACCTGACCAGGGTGTGAAGAGGAAAGTGAGGGCAGCTACCCATAGGGGCAAATCTCCACTGAGCTGTTCCTAGGAGAGGAAACCCTTTTTGGCCCTCGTCTGTGTTTTCATCTCACTGTGACCAGGCATAGAAATGCTTCATTTTTGAAAAGCGGCTTGAGGTCTACTAATAGATATGGATACACGTATGAACACAGAAATGCTTAATGAAGTATGTGGTTGATTGCTCATTCTTGTTCAGAAAAAGGAAGCATGGCATATAACTAGAGCATCTTGTTTATATTGCAGGAAGCGAAGGTTCATTCGAAATCAACAACACAACTGGAGCCATTTCTGTTATAAAAAGCCCAAACCAGCTCAAGAAAGAAGTGTATGAACTAAAAGTTCAGGTATGTTCTGTGGCCACTTGAAGACTGTTGGTGTTAAATGCTATGAGTAGGCATGATTATATAAAATAGCTCAATTTATAGCTGACTTTATCTGTTTTAGAAACTACCTCCTATATTTGAGCAGCGTGCCAGATAGTATAAAATAAACTGCGTTTGTTCCTTGAGATATGTCTCAAATTACTTCATTCAAATGAAGTCATCTTCTCCTAATTTCATCTCTGAGTCTAGAGAATCAACATCCTTTATATTATGAAGATAGCTGTACTCTGTGGGTTTGGATTTTATTGCTAAACTGGGAATTCATGTCATGTAATCTCTATGTGATGATATAGGTGACTGTCAAGTCTATGATTAGTAATAGGACTGGGGTAGATCATGCAATGTCATGTCTCCACTCCTGAAGCATTGATCAGCCACATACAATACATGCTAACCCGTTGATGAGCTAGTATCAGTGTGACAGGCTGCATTATTATAAGCAGTTTCTAAAGACGAAGAGTTTAGAAATGTAGAGTTAAACTGGGAAGATGACTTCAGCAAATGCATATTGCAACCACAACAGTTTGTCATGGTAGGGGCAATGTTGTCTAAAGGCAGCTTTGAGGTGCTGCACACTGCCGGAACCACTGTAGCATCCCCAAGGGCACTTGCTTGCTAGTGGACTCAAGGACCTTGGTGAAACTGGGAGATCATGGAGTTCCTCTTGTCTAAGTTAAACTCAGGCAACATTTCTTCCTCTGATCTCTCTGGTTTACTTCAGTCTGCTAGTGCTTCCCAGATATAGGATTAGTTAAGCCCTTGGAAGCTTTTCTGATCCCCTAGTTATATCTGTGGTGACCTGGAGCTTGTGCAGGCTACAAAATCTGCCTAAGAAACCAAAAGGGTGTTGTATTACACAGCATAGGTAGTAATAGGCACCTTGGTCACCAGACTAGCATCTTCAGAGAAACTTAGCAGTCTAGTGCCTTTGGTTTTGAGCCCTTTGAGCAAAAAAGCATGTTAGATATAGCTGTTTTGTTACAAAATCACCAGCTGGAGTTTCTGTCCTGACAGAAGAAATGTCTTAGGTTCAATCCAGTGAAGCAAGCTGCATGTTGCAATTGTTGAAACCCAGAGAGATTCGATCTTTTCAGTTCAGAAAAATGCCAACTAGGTTTGCGTGTCTGCCTAAACTATGTCGTTTAAATTAAACCCATCTAGACAGCAAAACAGAATTGTAAATCAGAGATGAAGTCTCAAAAAAAAAAAAAAACCCACATAAAGAAGTGTGTCATTTTTCTTTTCCAAATGTCTGTCTAATATATTTGTGGTATGCAAGTAGCATTTTTCTCAGAGTTTTCAAGGCTGTGGTCCTTGCAGCAATGTGAAAATCAACTACCTGTGCTACCACAGCAAATTTAAAGATTGTCTTCCTTTTCTATTCTGTCAACACTTTAGGCAAGCAATTATCTTGCCTTTATTAGATTATCTGTCTTCAGAGAACTGTTTTCACCTGGGGTGAGTTACTAAGCTCACAAAATGAGGAGGAGAGTTTTTTCACTGGGGCTTTATTGGGACTGGTTTATTACCATAATCTTCTAATCATCATAAACTTCAGTGTGAAATGGACTGAGATTTCTAGAGAAGTGTAAGGCTGTGATCTTCTCATAAGTTAGTGTGTTAGGGTGATTTGTACATGCAGAATTATGCCTGAATATGGAACTGAGGAAAGAGAGGATACCCTCATCACTCTTCTCTCCCTTCTGCCTGCTGCAGGCATCGGAAGTCAGTCAGGAAGGTGACATCTCAGTGTACGCTTTTGCCATGGTGACTATACGAGTGGTTGACCTCAACAATCATCCACCAACGTTCTACGGAGAAAATGGTCCCCAGAACAGATTTGAATTGACCATGTACGAGCACCCCCCAGAAGGTGAAATCTTGAGAGGATTGAAGATTACAGTGAATGATTCAGATCAGGTAAATGGAATCTATGTGGACTTTCAGTATTCCTGCCCTGTATTCTCAGAGACTAGAAAGAGCTCTCAGATGAGATGTCGTATTAGAAACTCAGCTATTTCACTTGCATACCCCAAAAGCCTAGGGCAAAGTAGTTGTAGGGTCCATTACCACAGAGAGTTTGGACTCAAAAGTATACTTAGTCTGTCATACACTGTTATGTCAACGGTAGTCCTAAAACTGCAGCCCAGTCCTTGTGGCGACTGAAGCTGAACGGTCCTTATGAACTCCCCTAACTACTGGTTACATTTGGTTGTTGTCAGTCTAATGTCCAAGAATGTATCCCCTTTGGAAAGTTACTTAGACTTTCCAATCACTTGTAGTAACTTCAAGGGCAATTGCTGTCTGTATCTTCTCAGCCCCTGCTGGAAGCAATACAGTCCGTACCCTTACATTGGTTTTATTACAATATATTATCCTTCTGGCCCTTGTGTGACATCCAAAGTCTGCAGTGCATGCTTGGACAAATCATTCCCACTGGAGTGATACTTTTAGGTAACCTTAAAAATTATGCCAGAGCCAAACTAACTCTAACCAGATAAAGGAAAGGGAAAGAAGAGTCCACCCTTCTCAGCCTGCTATCTAACTGACCTGTGAATGCCCATAGATACTATGGTGATGGTTGCTATAGGGATCCCTAGCTAAATACTGTATGAATGGCATCCATCTGACTTAGCCTGAGGTTAGGTAGTGACAAGAGAAAAGCTTAATGCATCTGAGAACTGTATTACTATTGGAAAGAGCGCTCTTATATAACTGTGCTCAGTATTGTGCTGTTTTGACTGTATTGTACTCTATCAAACCCACCAGCTTCTTCCCCCTCCCTCCTGCTGCTCTGCAGCAAGCAGATAAATCACTGCTTTCAGAGCAGCACTACGTCTATCCTGCTATTGTCACAGGGGATGTTGCTGCAGAAGGAAAAACCCAAAATCCATCTCTTCTATTTAGAGACAAAATATATATGTACCGTAGGTAGGCTGACAAAATATTCAGGCTGCAAGTTAGGCTATAAAATAAGCAGAAAACATTGCTAAATACACTGTATGGTTTTCTTGAGAAGCTTCCTGGTACAGTGGCACAGAATGCAATGTTCTCCCTTCCGCACAAGAGGACTGTATATAGAGGAAAATCAAACATATATCTGTCTGTGTCACGGCCATTACTGACTCTTTCATCTGGGGGAGTGTGGGGTACAGGTGAGGAGGACGAAGCTGTGGGCAAGGTCTGGTTTAGGCCTACAGTTTGACAGAGATGTCATCTTTATATGCCAAAACATTATGCAGAAATTTCTCCCACAGCCCTATTTATCCGACAGACACAGCTTAGGGCTCAGTCATGTACGGTCGCAAGTGCAGAGGACTTTGCATGGTCAGACAGTCCACTTTCCCCATCAGCACTATTTTCCCTAGTCCAGCAGCTCTGACTTTGTGTGTTTGGCTTTACTACCCAGCAAAAGAGAGCCTGTTGTCATTTCTGTAGCTGATGGGGGCGGGTTATATGGCCAAACAAGGCAGACCACTGAGTTTGGATCCAAGATCACTCTGTTTCCCTTGGGGGACTGCTGGTGAATACTTCTCCTCTTGACATGAGCTAGGGTTGGAGCAAGCACTGCTCATAACAAGCCCTCCAGGGATACAACTGAACGTAGAGTTGTCTTGTTTGAAAGTTATTATTAAAAATTCTTCTCCCCAAGATTCATGCAAGGGGGAGAACATGGTACCTGCCAGGCAGTGAATCTGGCTGGTTTATCACACTGTAAACATGACATCATTTGAGAAATTGCTGAACTCAGAGAGTTGGTGAAGTGGGGTCAGCTCATTTTCCCACCTCCCCTGTAGGGCAGAATTATGAGAATCCACATTTCAGCTTTTCTTCCATGCTCCAGTTTGCTTTAAAAGAATTGGTCTGGCCAACTGGCTCTGGCTTACTCTTCCCAACTCGCACACAAGTGGTAATAACCTTTTAGATACTGCTTGCTTCCCGTGTCCTCTCTGGCTAGAAGGTTTATCTATATTATGGGATTTGGCTTCTCACTTCACCTGGAGTTGTCAAATGTATGTCAGATTTTATTCTGCACAAGTGGAGTTCCTCTCTCCCCCCAAGCGCATCAACTTCTGAAAGGTTTAGTGGCTGTAACTCTGCTAGCTTATTCCATCCAGAGCAAACTGTGGAGTATCACCTCTGTTTGGAAATTGCATGTCTTCGGGTCTCTGCATCATCATCCCACGATATGAGCTCTTAGGACACAGGCTGGGTTTTTGCGGGGTCCATTGCCCTGACTTGGGCAGTTCAAATGTCCTTCCTTGGCAGGAAACAGGAGGAAGCAGGCCTTGCCTGTCCAAGCGCACATGGTGTCATCTCTGTCACCTGCACTAGCTCACAGTGAGTGGCACGAAGCCCAAGGCTGCTTGCCACAACAGTCCCCCTCTTAGCCAGTCCTGCTGCAGCATTTTTCCATTATGACTGAAAGAATAACCGAGCTTGTCAATCTATTTTAAGAAAAGCTTTGTCCGTCTTGTGACCAGGGCTGGAGGGATTATATAACTAAGCTTCTTAGCAGTCTCTTGCCCAGGGTTTGGAGAGCAGAGGGCTCTAAGCAGTAAGACTCATTCTAATTTTATACAGTGTGAAGAAATGGAGCCAATCTACGCTGTGAGAAATCCATCATTCACTGAAAACAATGCCATGTCTGCTTTTATTCACAGGGAGCCAATGCTAAATTCAACCTCCGTCTTGTGGGACCTGGTGGCATCTTCCGAGTGGTTCCCCAAACTGTCCTCAATGAGGCTCAGGTTACAATAATCGTGGAAAATTCTGCTGCTATTGACTATGAAAAATTCAAGGTGTTAACTTTCAAGGTACTTCTGCTTCCCGGGTCCTCTCTCCCTGTGTATATGATATGTGTATGATGGCTTATGTATCCGACAGGATTTAGATCCCTGATCCACCTAGAGCTGTCTGATGCATTGTCAGGACATTATATTCCATGTTAGAGAGACTCATTTCTGCCTCTGGTTCATCAACTTCCAAAGGTTTAATGGATGCACCTGCGTACTAATTTAGTCCAGTCAGTGCAAAATGTTGAGTATTATCTCTCTGTGGAAACTGCATGTGTTGGTGGCTCTGAGTCATTCCAGACTGAATCCTAGGGGTGTTATTTCTGCTCTTATAATGATAAACTCGCAGGGTGAAATCCTAATTTCTCTGGAGTCAGAACTTTGCCTGCTTAGCCCTACGTAATTAGGTTCATGATCATGCTTTTGAATGTTGGCAGGCTGCAGACACCAGCTGACTGGCAGATGATTTCCCAAAATTGGTCACTGCCCTTTGTTAGAGTGTATCTGTCTATATGGCCTTTTGCAGACTGACCTGAGGCTGTCTCACCCACGCTCTAAACCAGCCGTACAAGAACCAGCTTTCATCCAAAAGCTGGACCCTTGCATTAGCACCTTCTCTGATGGATTCACTGGCTCGCCAACAAGATAGTTAAGTAGTCTGGTTTTGTGTCAGCTGCCTCAGAACATGAGTACAGGTGATTGAGTTCTGACTGCAAAGAATGACATAGACAATCCCTGTAATCTTAAACAAAACAAATGCCAAAACTATCTGAGTATTATGTGCTAGTTCTAGTTTTGTTCACGAAGTGGCATTTTTTGCACGGTCCAGAAGCCTACTTCCTGGATTTTTTTCTCACCCTTGCTACATGGTTTGCTTTGTGTCCTTAGCAAGTCATTTCACTGCAGTATGCTTCACATCTCCTCTTGCAGTGTTCTGTAGTCATTTTGAGCTTCATAAGTTATAGATGGCACAAAAATATGAGCCATCATTACTGTATTAAAATGGAAGATTCTGAAAGAGCTATAAAATGCTACTGAAACTAATTATTATAAGTGTACATTTATTCAGGTTAAACTACCAAAAGACCAGTAAAGAAGTTACACATGGCCTACTCATGAATACTAATAGGAATCGAAGTAGTTAATGTGATTGCCATGAACACTGGAAGAATTAATTACCAGGAAAAAGGATATATATTTTTTTTAGCTTAAGCAGTTATTCACTGGTGGTTTTTTTTGATGATGAAATTATTTCTACTGGAGAAAGACCATAAGGCTTTGCTAAAAAAGCAGAGCCTTTGTCTAGTTTCCAAATGAAGAAGGTGCAGCTGGAGGATATGGTAGTAATATATGACAGCAAATACTTGATAAAGACCTCATTGCTCTCTCCATTTCCCTGAAAAGTTCAAATTGCTTCCTACCCAGTTTTAATTGCCAATGTAGTCATTCTGGTTAGAATTTTGGATGAAATATATTCTTATTTCTTTTTTAACATGTATCCCACAGAAGCTTTGAGAAGCTATTTTCAGGGTTTGGGTTTGGTTGGTTGGGGTTTTTTTTTGGTTTTTTGTTTTGTTTTGGGTTTGGGGTTTTTTTGGTGGTGGTGGTTTTTTGTTTGGTCTTTTTTTTTTCTTTTTCTGTAAGCAATGGTCCCTCTTCTCTGGTTTGTTAGTGGACAGTAAAATGCCAGAGAGGAATTAAAGCCAATTTGACTGGAAGGTGTACTGGAAAACTACCTGAAGCAAAGGCTACTACAGAAAATCTATCTTCTATTTAGGGCTGGCTCTTAAATGTATCTGGTAGTCATGACCTCCTTCGTTTTCAGCTGTCCAAGAGCTAGAGTGGGTGGGTTTCCCAAGGCATGGCAGATGTGGTAATTCATTCCCCTCCAGCCTGGCCTCTTAGATCTCAAGTCCCCCTGCCACAGGGGCCAGATATTGCTGTCCCACCTTGCCATGGGCTGAAATGCTTTGGGGCCCAAACCACCTGCCTCCATCTCCTTCAGCTTGGAGCACATCCTGCCTTGAAAGGAGCCTGGACCTACCCCTCACATTCTGCAGGTGCTCACATCTCCTGCAGACCAGGCCTGGATGAGGCTGCAATTATCTTCAGTTTCCAAAATCAAACTCTGTTCTAAAAAATTTACCCACGACTTTTAAGACTGCATCTGAGTTTGTTCTTGTGGTGCTTGTGTTAATTGTTGATATGTAGTCCTGTGAAGTAATAGTTTTATGCTATTTTTTTCCCTCTCTGCATAAAAAAAAACAACACATCTCTGCGTAAGACATTGCAGGCAAGTAAGCTGACAAAAATTCCTCCCTGACATAGTTGGACTATGGCTGCTAAAAGGAGAGGGAGTAAAAAATGAGTGTAGAAAACAAGGTAAAAATGCTAAGCTCTCATAAGGTATTCTAAGATGGGCTGATTCCAGCAGCAAATATTATTTCACTGCAGATGTTATAATTTAGTTATAGATCCGCATGAACGATAAGCAATAATATTTTATCTCTGTGCTACTTTAGGAGCTGAGATTGCTTATGAGCAGGTTTTTGCTGATGTCTGTATGACTGTCCCTTCGAAAATTTTTTTCTGTAACACCATCCAAGACTCCCAAACACAGAAGTTGGCAGGGAGACACAGTGCCCAAACTCCCTTTTTAGAGCAGATGTGTCCTGTAGTAATTACAAGTGATTTTTCAAGATTAATTTCTTCAAGAACCCTTTCGCTGTTTATTTCCAGATATTATAAATGTTCACACAGCAGGAACAGCTCCAGGAGATGATACTGAGATAGCCTTTTCCCTGTCTAGTCAAACTGCTCTCCACTGTCCCCCAAACCCTGTCACCTCTAGGTGACACAAACTTCTCTGCATCTAGCAGGGCAAGGACCGGAGGACAAAGGATGCTGTGGAAGCCCTGCTCCACTTTCCAAAACTTGAAACTCTCTTAGGCATTCACCCTCTTTGACGGAGCTCCTGGGACATATGTCTACTGGGAACTAAAACCCACACAGCTGGAGTTTTCAGCTGAGTCTCTCATATCTCAGTTAAATGTCCTGCTTGCTAGTCTATCAGTGAGGTTCTCAGTAGGTTCCTAGAGCCCTCCTGCTCTGTGTTAACTAGGTCTCTGCCCAACCATGAAAACCACATGGTTGACCATTGGTCATTTTGTTAGTCATTTGGGTTCAGTCCCTCAGAGCCCAGGACTGGTGCTATTCCTAGTGCTGATTCTGTGCAATGCAGCCACCTGTCAGGGACCAGGCACCTGGGCCCAAGGTGGTGAAAAGCTCGGTCTCTCTCAGTAGATGCTGCTGAAACGGCTCTTTCCTGCTCAGTCGTGCACCATCTGAGCAATAGGCATGCTGCTCTACCCGCTTAGGCTTCCTACTGACATTCCTCTAATCTACTGAGGAGCATTCAGAGACACAGCAGAAACACTGCTGCTATTTTGTGTAAGATTAAGATAGAAAACATTCGGTGCTAAGTAGCTGAAGTCCTGTGGAAAAGTGCTTATCTGAGGCTTTGGAGGTGACTCACCAAATACTTGCTCCGATCTGCTCTCAAGTGGGATCTGAGAGCTCCCCGCTGCCTCCTGAGAGCTGCCATGCACCAGACGCCTGGGTTATCCTCTTCCCTCTCTGTGCTGGCTGCTCTTCCCTGCCCCAGTTAGCCATGCATTAAGGGGCAATGTGAGAAAACAACTTGCTGCCCCAGCAGTGCCATCCCTCAGCTGGGGCATGAGATGGGCAGGCACTAGTGTCAAGCTCTGCTGACAGCCAGCCAGAGCATCCATGCTACTGGCTTCTCCCCATCCCTGTCTTGCTGTATATGGTTGTCTGCCCTCCTAAATGGGAAGAGTTATGAGAATGTGTTACACCAGAGCTTTCTGTTCTTCCCCAGAGACGGTGAGGCAATTCAAAATTCCCAGTGGATATCTGGTAAAGTCCCAATCAACATGAGGCAGCGAGACTAGAATCCCAAGAATCCTGGTGGTAGGAATTCTCACAAACTTTGTGAAGTGGAATTCTGCTGTACGTGCCTGATCCCTGATCGTCCTGCATTTGGGGAAGGGGTACTACTGCATCTCTTTACCCTGTTTGGTGCAGTTTATTGCCCTGACTTCTTTCCTGATGAAGAATTTATGCTGCTTCTGCAAAGGATCATGATTAATTTTATGTGATTATTCAAAATTATTCAGCGTTCATGTCTTCCTAAGTTCTAGGAGCTGCAGAGGGATGGGTGTTTGCTTACTTCTGTTACGGTTTTTCTAGCTGTGTTTCTTAGTTGTGACCAATCACGTCACGTGAAGTCTGATATGTGTACACAGGTTTGAAGTCCTTTTTCCCACAGTTTGATTGCCCATTGCGAGCATGCACTAACAAGCCTAGGCTGCACACTGACCTAGTTCATCATCTGCCTGGTTTTGAGCTGTCTGGTCCAACCGGGCTAAAATGCACCAATGTGCCATGAATAGAAGAAAGAAACTCCTTTAAGAAGTAATAATTATCTGTTTTACAGTATTTTCCTGGTTTTTCTCTCCTCAGCTTCTTGCAATAGAGGTGAACACACCAGAGAAATTCAGCTCGACAGCTGACGTGGTGATACGTTTGCTGGATACCAATGACAATGTCCCGAAGTTCACCTCCGACTACTACATTGCCAGGGTCCCCGAGAACTCCCCGGGGGGCTCAAATGTAGTTGCTGTTACAGTGAGTTTCATCCATCTCTTAAGAAATGCTCTCTTTTCTAGGTGTCTGTGAAGACAGTTCAAGTACCTTAAAATTAGTGGACAGAGGCGAGTAAGCAAATCTTACTTGCCATTCAGCTTCTGAACTGAAAAAATACAGTTTTTCACTTCTGAAATAAATAAAGTTTAAGCAATTATGTTTCAGAACAAGTTTACTCTTCTATTCAGTCAAAGGCCAGCTGCTTTTAAGACAAATCAGATGATCTGTGAGTACTAAGAAAGCCTCAGTCAAATCAGTGTCCAGCAGGAAGGTTCAGTTATGACTAAGTGGAATTGGATTTAGTGGATTTGCTTGCTTAAGTACAAGTAAAAAGAAAACAAAATGGCTGCTTAGTAGGTATTAGTCTCCTCCTCCTGGGAGGAATCTGGCTGCTAAATGCATAATTAGACAGTTCATGAAGGTGAGAATATAATGTTAAAATGCTTAGAGCTGGGAAAGAAAGATCCCTACAGAAGTATCTTCTCACAGTGGGAAAAAAATATGGCTATAGATTTTCCAGTATCTCACATTTTCATAGAAAGAAAGTCAGGGTATTACATGTGCCCTCCATGCAGGAGAAGCATTTCCAACCATTGGTGTGAGCTGTATCTCCTTAATGCAGCTGCTAGGACTGGAAACGGATCTCACATTGCAAAGCAGAGAAAGCTCCTGGCCATGTGGGGCTCGGTGGGTGATGCAAGTCACCTTGCAGGGGCCGCACCGTAAGGATGAGGGAGACGGGTTGCCAGACATCTCCAGCAGAGCCTGGCTGCAAATAAGGAAGAAAATTAAATAATCAGAATAGTGAAGTGCTGAAGGCAAATTTTAGGGATGGAAGGAGAAGTGGACCATAAACAACACAGAAAAGGTTATTAGAGGAGACTAATAGAAAAGATGTAGGAAACAGACTCGCAATCTCACTATCTCTGCAGCAAGAGGAATAAAAAAAATCTAGGAGGTGAACAGTAAAAAAAAGAAATTTTTAAAAAGTTTGCAAAGGCATCATTCTGAGCCAAGGTGCACAGGACAGCGTGGCTGAGGAGTCCGTGTAAAATTTAGTGTCATGTGCTGTCAGCTCAGAGCTTGAACCCGGATTCACATATATACCTGACAAACTGAGACACTCCAGGCACTCAGGGTGACAATTCTGGCAGAAGTCCCAGGTGTGCAAATGTTTTAGGAAAAGTTAGGCAGTCCTAAAGTAGACTGCGATCAAGATTATGGTGAAAGAATCTGACAAGCTCATGTCAAAGAACCAAAAAACACTGACCAGCAGGGCTGCAGCTGTGTTCTGTTAACCATGCAGGAGTGGTTTGGCTTGGAAGGGACCTTACAGACCATCTAGTTTCAACCCTCCTGCCACAGGCAGGGATACTTTCCACTAGGTCAGGTTGCTCAAAGCCTGGCCTTGAGCACTTCTAATCAAAGACATTGTTCCAGAGTTCAATATTTAAGCAGGAAGATAAATGAATCAATCGCTGCCGCCGTGAATTTTGATGGCTAGCTACAACAGGATAATATCGCACCTCCTCAGAGCTATCAGAGAACCAGGAGCTTATGGAAAGAGTTGTTACCAAATCGATAGCTTTCCTGATCCTGAGCTAAGGGAGGAAGCCAGCAACAGTCTGGAAAAAGATGGTTTCTGGTGTAGTATCTGCATTACTAAAAGTCATACAGGCACAAGATTAAAATCTAAACAAAGATGAAATATTGTGTATAGATTGAAACGTTTGTTATGCATTACTTTAAATTGAATCAATTAAATAAGCAGAGGCTTAAAAAAATACTCTATTTAAAGTAAATAATTTTGTTCAGGGAATACACATTAATATTTAACTGGTAATTAGGAAGGCTTGAGAGTGGGCAGTTTGTTTGCGTCACTGAGATGAGGTTCATCCCTGCCAAAGGCAGGGAGACTTAAATATCAATAGATGGGGCCATCTAGTGGCTTTCTCCCTGCCAGAGCCTCTGGCACCAGCCTGGCCAGGGGACAGCAGCGTCCTAGCACCTTCCTAGGACAGCCTTATGATAGATTTTGCAGTTTTCTAAGTGCCCATTTGTTTATGTGATTTCCCTTTAAAAATATGATGTCAACAAAGAGGGAAAAGCATTTGGGGTTTTGCATGGCTTGTTGTTAAAAGAAAACTGAAACGTTTCTTTTTGCAATTTAGTAAAATATGACTCATTTTATTTTCTTAAGGCTACAGATCCAGATTCAGGGCTCTGGGGAGAAGTCAAGTACTCTATCTATGGAACAGGAGCAGATCTGTAAGTAAAAAAAAAAAAAAACCCAACAAACACACAAAACAAAAAAAAACCAACGCATGCTACATAACCTCTAAGCAGAGTTTTAAGCAGAGATTTTAAATATTTTTTTTTTAAAAAAAGAACAGGCTCTTGACCTGCTCATTTCCAAGGACATTTATGCTATGTTCTTTGTAAATTCTGTGAGAACAACAACAGGAAAACTAATGTGATCATTAAGCATCTGCTTCATGAACCCATGGAACTTTACCCGCAAGCCCCCAAAGAGACATAAGGCAGCTGAAGTACCAGTCTGCAGGATCTGTTCAATCACCATTTGAGAAACACTTGTAAGAGAAAGAGGAGGTTTTGGTCTAGTTGTGAAAAGTCAGTTCTGGGGGAAAAAAACAATCCCTTGCTCTTTCCCCTTCCCTTTCCCTATAGCTGTACAGATCGTTCAGTTTCAATTGTTGTCAAAATAAATCAAGGCAGCAAGACTTCAAGAATATAAACCGTAGCTTTGGATGCTAGCTGCATTGGGTGTTCAGAGTGGTTTGTATATTTATACCTAATGGTCCTGCATCAGAGAAGAAGGGAACCTGATGCTTACTTGATTTTGTAATGAAGCTTAGCTCCCTCTCCCTGTCTTTGAGGACAGTGCTGTGGTAAGAACATCCTGAAACACTGATTTCTCCCAGTGCCCCAGCAGTTGGCCCATTGGCTGGGGCTCCCAGCCGTGGCTGGCATCACTGGCCATCATAGATACTGCTGCTGAAACCTGCAGCTCCTGGACACCGTGGGGCCGCAGGGCAGAATACTGGAAATGAATGAGCTTTTCAGGTGCTCATCCCCAGAATCCATTTTTCCCCATACGTTATCCACCTGGGGTTAAAGCTGTACTCTTTTTGTTAAGGTGAAAGCCGTTTAGGAGGCACAATCAAAGTCCAAAATCCAAGATGTTAAGTGTGAATCTCCTCTGTAGCCAGAAGGCTACACCTATGGGAGCATTTCCAGGATGGATTATTTTGAGCTCTTCACTAAATCCTTAAGCTTGCTGCTAACTGCATAGAGGCAAGCAGGCAAAGGTCATGTTGTGCAGTCAGACCTCAGGTTTAAAATATAGCAGCTGGTGCAAAGAAGTTGGTGAAGGTTGTTGACAAAAGATTTAGGAAAAAGCGTGAGTGTAACTCTATCCTGTTGGGAGTTATTGGGATGCACAGACTCTGTCTTATGCTGTTGAATGAGGAAATTAAGATGTGAATACTTTTTTTCCTTCTTAAGTATGATTTGGGGTTTTTGGTTTGTTTTGTTTTTTTGCTTCTCCTTGTGACAGAATGGCATGGCTCTGCAAGGCTGGATAGATTTCCTAGCCCTGAGACCTCCAGATCTGCTGAACACAGTTTGATGCAGATTTAAGAGTTTCAATTAGAGGCATGATTTTTTTCTGCCTCAGGGGTTACATCAGAGGATAGGCAGTTGCGTTGGCAGAAAGATGAGTTGTACTGGAGTGACAAGAATAGTGTTAACTGTTGAAGATAAACCCATTATGTGGGTAATCCTACATCCAAGTGGGAGTGGGGTACACTGCTGCAGTCTCTTCACATCTCAGTGCTTCTATTCTTCTGCTAAAATAAGAGTGATAAGAGTCTTCTCTGAACAGTTAGGCAGGGGTGGGTGGTAAGGAAGCACTCCGCATGGGCACTGTCTCCTACCAAGAGTTTGGACAGCTCTTTCCACTGCCAGGTCTTGGTTTTCATCAAGACTTGCATTTGTATTTAACAGGGTAATGAAAACAGTTGAAGTTTCTGGACCAGGAAGTGCACCTTTTATAATCACTCTCAATTGCACTCACAGTTGAAATACAGAAAATATTTTGCTGTCCTTTACATTAATTAAAGAGTATATAAAACCTTTCATCTGTAAAAAACCTACTGCTTGGAGCCTACATTGGCACTCCATTTTAAAAGGACACTTCTTTTCTATAAATACAAGCTTTTGGCTGACACTTTTGACAGTGTCTCCGTAATTACAAATGTGTAGAATTGAACTTGTTACAGACAAATCTGAACACCTACTCCATCCCAGTGCCAGTCTATGGAGAAGTGATTATTTTTGGAGGAGATAATTTGCCCTGCACTTTGGGGGATTTGAGAGCAGCCATTTTTCTTACCCATTCTGAGAAGTGAAGAGCTTAAATATGATATGCAGCATGCTTCCCTTAGCTACTGAAGTGATATCAATCAATCTTAATTGATGCAGGACATGATCTAATACATTGTACTTACAAACTGAAAAAAATAGGCAGCTCCTTAATGTTTTAACGCAAAGAAATCACTCTGGGAGAAGGCCATCACACTGAGCATTTGCTGAGGACAAAGACTTTACCAGAAAATACAGCTAAAATGGCTAATGCATAATAGATTGGGGGGGGGAAACCAACCAAACAACAACAACAAAACCCAGACACTGATAGTTTTCTGGTTTTCAGGCCTAAAGGAACTGGCCAAAAATACATAGAGTGAATGGTTTGGAAACACCAGCCAGACAGGAGCTAGGTGAAGGGTACAGCATTTTGATGTTCAGAGCCCACCTTTGCCCCAGGCTCTAAACACACATTAAGCAACCAAAAATCCCAAAAGTCTTTCCATGTTTCTTTTCCAGGTTCTTAATCCACCCATCAACAGGTATAATTTACACCCAGCCCTGGGCTGTCTTAGATGCTGAAGTGAACTCGAAGTACAATTTCTATGTGAAGGCAGAGGACACAGATGGGAAATACAGCCTGGCTGAAGTGTTCATCACTGTGCTAGATGTCAATGACCACTCTCCAGAGTTCAATGAGAACATCCAGGAAAAGACGATGATCATCGGGTCACCAGTGAAGATAGAGGTGAGAGAGTACAACACAGCGTGTCACAAAGCAGAGCACTTTGGAAAAGCCCCAGCTCTGCTGTTTATTGCTCAGGGATCGTGATGAATGTCTGAAAGTTGGCTGTTCCTGAGACTTTATTTTGCACATCCATTTTTACGTAACAAATGGATTAAAGCATGGAATGATGGTATTTACAGAAAGGAGAAATAAATTCTATAGGCAAAAGATAAAGTTCTGTTACAGCATTTGAACCATCAACTGGTGAAGGATCCTGGATTACACAGTGATCATAAGAAGCCCAAGTAAGAAAAGTGAATTTAAAGTACAGAGGTTTGGATACTTAACCTTCCCACCACGCCTTTGTGCTTAACCACACAACTTCTTTCCCTTGGCTTTGCAGAATTGTATTCATTGATCCAGTCTGGAACAGGAGGTAAAAAAAATACAATAACAATTCACAGGCAAAGGAGCAGTTCATCCTATGTTACACATATTTGAATGTGAAGCCTGATTGCACAACACCTAATGTTAGTGGAGTAAATACCACAGCACAAACATTAAGGCAGCTATAGTTTGTAGTGTGGAGTTAATCCCATTGTTCTCTTTCACTTCACATCTGTCCCCCGTGCTGTGTGAGAAAGTCCCCAGCAGTAGACCATTTGCATTCTGCAGATAGGTTACGGTTCAGTTTTTCCTCTGATTTTATTTAATCTCAAATAGAAATCGCTTACACAAAAAGAACTCTACTCCTGCTGTTTTTCACTCGAAAATGTAGCATAGCTGATACCAGAAAAGGGAAAATTGTATCCAAGATGAAACAAAACCAGCCCAGTCATCTCATAGCGTGGATATTATCAGAAGTGAACACTCAGAATCTTCTAGAGTTTTGTCTTCAGGCAAAGATACAAACAATAACACCTTTGTTCTTTACACCTCCCCTACCAGGCTATAGATCAAGATGCAGAAGAGCCCAACAACATCGTGGATTATTCCATCATGCAAGCAGATCCAGCCAATGTGTTTGATATAGACCAAAGCACTGGGGAAATCAAGCTGAAATCCTATATCCGTTCACTGGACATCATACACAACATCACAAGGAACAAAGACTGCATATGGTCAGTGGTGGTGCAGGCCAAAGACCGAGGCTCCCCGTCCTTCAGTACCACAGCAGTTCTGAAGATTGACATCACAGAGGAGGTAAGCAAACATTTTGGAAAAATCCTTAGGTGAGAGGATCCTCGATAGTCACCAAAGAGTAGTCACTGCTTGCCCCATTCCTGAGACTACTTTAAGAATGCTTCAGGAGTTGAGATAGACAGCCAAAAGTTGCCAGCCGTTACTTCTCTCTTCTTGCTAGCTCTGTTTTGTAGAGTGTTTCTAGAGCCTTGTGGTGGAGCTGGATTCTACAGCCACAAATGTAAAATACAGTTTGATCAGAGGAATTGCAAAGGTACAAAGGTAGGAGCATAAGGTGGGGAGATGAGGTCCTTGTGTCTGATTGTTAAAGATAGAAGAAAATTAAGGACTATCAACTCCTGAGAGTGAAATCGTGACTGCTACGTTTCTGCTTTTTTGTTTTCATTCACAAGAAGAAAACAATCTCTTTTCCCTGTATCTTTTTCCCTTACAAAAAGTGAGGAGAGAGTAAGCAGGGGCCAGAGTGAAATATGTCAGCCCAGTTTTGCAAGTCAACATAAGTGTGACATAGGAAAAGTGAGAAAACTTTATAGAAAAGCTTTGAAGTACATAGAATTTTGGATGTGAGTTTAATAACTGCAGTATTATTAGCAGTGAAACAAGAAGGTTCTAAAAGATAACACATGTAGGTTGAGAGTGTCCCGTGAGCCTAACTTTTATGTCAACCAAAGAACAAGCAGCGATTATGGTGAGCAGCACATGCTTGCATGATTCTTGCTTATTGTAACTGCCTTGCCATGCCTTTAAGTAGGTACTAGCAGGGAGGAAATGGGCTTTAAAGGAGATGAGAAACACATCATTAGCCTGACAGTCTCTGGACCGCACACATACTGGGCAAAGATGCAAACCTTTTCCTACAGACAGCAGCTGGCCTTCTCTTTGTTTGGTCAAAATGCACCCACTGCTCCTTTATCTGTTATAGTCTCTCTTTGTTTTTTCTGTCTCCTCTTACTCCACTGATGCTGCTGATCAGGTGCCTTGATTCAACACCTCCACGAAAGCTGCTGTGCAGCGACGCTGGGACACGGCACAGGCAGGGCATGATGCTCCCAGGCTCTGCCATATGGAGCTGGGGCACTGCACATGCTGGGTCCCTGTGATGAGTCTAGAGATTTAGCCATTCTTACTGATACCAAGGAAACAAACTGCTTAACCCTTTGGTTTCCCATGGAAACAGTAAGTTTAGGCAGTTTTATACAACAAATAAGAATTGCTACCCGTAGCCAACAGTGGGAGCACCCATCCTCCCTACCTCGCATCCAGGCTTCTCACAGAGGGTGCCAGCAGGTGGCCTCAGGCACTGTCCCCACTGTTGGCCCATCCCCTCTCCCCCTCACTATCTCTCTCTCCCTGTCTCTCTCAGGCTTTACAAATGTACAATTCACCTCCCTGTGCTCCAGCTGTACAAAGTCTCTTTCAGTTGACTGTTTGGTGGGCATTTATCTATCACTGCTTTGGGATAAGGAGGATATTTTTGAATGCATCCTCTAGAGGTTTCCTGCAGTGTTAATCACACTAAGCAATTAAACAGGCGTATTTTCTGATTAACATTTACCATTGTAATTAGTGCAAGGCTGTGCCCTTCGAGATAGATGCCTTGTGGCTAAGTTCAGCAGTATTGCTCATCAAAAGGACCTTTTGCTCTAGGAATAATACAGCGATAAAAAATTCCAGAGGCCTTTTAATTTAACTGAGTCTGGGTTTATGGAAATTGGTATTGAGTGGCATCTGTTAATCTCCTGTCCTGCCTCAACAGAATAAGAAACATATGCTAAAAAAGCCACTCTATGCACCCTTATGTCTCACACAAAAATGTATTCCTTCTGCCTGAGATTTTCACGGAAAGCTGATTCCCACTCCTAATCCTGAAGGTTGGCCTGATGGGTGAGATTCCTCCGCCTTTTCACGACTCCGCTGAGGTTCTGCAAATATATGGGGGTGTTTATTTACACCTCTTCATGGACTAAGGCTTAAGTCCACATTTAGACAACATAATCTGTGGTTCTTAATAGCTTTGGCCACTCATTTAGACTTCTAAATATAGCTGGCAAGTCTCAGGTTTAGAATCTGCTAATTGAAAGGTTCAACAAATGCATTCTGTGCATTAATGTGAATATCTCCTCCTCTCTCACACTAACTCTGCAACCATGGGAACCGTGGCTGCTGATGGCACCAAACATCCTTTGTCACATTTGCAGAGCAGTTAGCCTCTTCTTTCCACAGTTACATGGACCTTGAAAAAAGTGACTCAGAGAAGGCTGGTGTGATTTGAGAAGTCTTGCCCCATGCTGGTGTTTGTATTGCAAAGTGATGTGAATGCAGCCTTCATGTATGGCTCTTAGGGATAAGCACTGCGGGAGGCCGCTTGTGTTCTACCTCGGTTCAGAAGTTACTTCTGAAGCCAAGCCCCTGATGATCCCCACACGCTGTGGGATGGCTCATGCCTCAGACAGCTCCAAGCACACAAAGTGGACTTCCTTCAGATGCAAATCTGTCTGGGGAACGGGTTGGTCCCTGCAACCAGGCTAGGGCAATCTGAAACAAAAGCCCAGAAATGCTGAATACATGGAAGCGGGCTCCTCAGAATCAGCTGGTTCGTTGTACTGATCCACTTGCCCAAGTTGACACAGCCTGGGTTGTCTATAATCTGCCATAGCTTGGGCTCTTAACAGCTTCACCTACTTAGACTTCTAAATATAGCTGGTGAGCCTTAGCGGGTCTCGTGGTTGAAGGGCTCAGCCACACACTCCTGTGACCAACTTCTGGGTACATCGCCCCCCGCAACCCATGCGTTATGAAAGGCTTCTTGAGAAGCTGCCAGGTGTGGATGTCTGCACACTGCAAACTGTCAGGAGAGAGAAAAATAAAGGCAATAAGTCACCATTTCAGTAGCAAAAAGAGACATCTTCTCTGGAAAATGCGGGTTTCTGACGAGGAAGCCACTATAGAGGAAGGATGGCAAGAATAAGTCCCACATGCTGCAGAGGGGTGTTTGCTGCAGCCTGTCCTTCAGGAACAGAGCCTGAAAGCATCTATCCACACTTAAATTGCACAATGCTGGATCTTACAAAGCCAGGCTCAAAGGCATGTGTCAGTGTTAGAGCCCCTCAAAAGCTGACGAGTGCCAGTGACCGCTGGGCACTTCAGCACCCCACGGGACTTGGGCTGAGGACCATCTCGGCAGGAGATGGACAGTCACAAGGGTTCTGCAAGGGACTACATGTGTCCATTAAATACAAAACAGGTGATGGCATCTTTTGATCCAAACAGTTTCTTTAATCTTTTAAATTGTATTCTTGTCCCAGGATTGGACTTCTCCATTCTCAAAGCTGATACAAACAGCTTAGCTACTTCCAAACTTCCACCACAGCTCTGTAAACCTTTAACTGTCCCCAACCCTTCTCTTGGCCATTGCTCATCATAACTCCGAAGTCACAGCAAAAAACCAGTAGAGCATTATCTCTTGTGAACAGTGGTCTTTTAACTCCTTCGATGGCTATTAAGAGAGAGAGTATTTCTTCCAGGTTTCAGCCCACAGAGATATGATGGTGTTTCCCATAGCAGCTTTCATTTCATTGTATATCTGCTTCTGGTTTATGTGTACAAGAAAAATCAGTATTCCCCAAAATGCAGTATGCCTCTTAGGGAAAAACAACAGCCAAATAAATTACAAATGGCACTCTCTGTTGACCCAGTTCTGGGGCACTGTTGGTAATCGATACAAGGACTTGAAGGTGTTTTGAACGTGCAGGGCAGTGCTCAGGGCCACATCACTTAAACTTAGGTGTCCAAATGCTCCCAGACTTTCACTGCCAAGGGGCGCTCAGACCTCTCGCAGATCTGTTCTGTGTGTTAACTGACCAGGCCACAGTGGTGACACAAACAAGATTGCAAAGCTTTTTGGTGACAAATGCACTTACCTTAACCCTCTCTGCAGGCTGGCTAAGATGATGACATTCCAGGCTTGGTTTGCAAGTTGTTTCCTCCTGTTTATTCTGTGTCATGGCCATGACAAAAGAAATTCTCTAGCTGTGTGCTTACAAAATTCCTTATGTTTTTATGCAGACACTACAGAAGATTTGTTATCCAAGGCTGATTCTAGGCAAAGCTATTGGTCCAGTAACTAAAATATAGGCTGAACCAGCTAACTATCAATGGTTTTAGTTTTCGTACTAATTACTGGGAGCCTGAACTTGGTGCCAAAATTGGTGAGACAAGGGGGAGTTGAAGGAAGACGAATTCTGAAACTGCCCATACAATTTCCATCAGTTTCTCAGCCCCGCAACTGTTGTACGCTGGCAACATAGACACGTATTTCTGTCTAATCCCATTTATTCAAGATTTTCAAATAGCTAGTCAAATAATTATTACTGAGATATAGCTCTTCTTAAGTATACGTCATCTTTCTCCTCGTGTTGGTCCTATACTATTTAACCATCAGTGCCTCACTACAAAATACATCTTGACAACACTCATAATAAGTGGACTCATTTCAGGTCATGTACTACTTAGCAGGGTTTATCTGTCACTTAATTCATCAGACTTTCACATGAAGTTAGGTAAGCCAGGGTAGAATTTCTGTCATCTGATGGGATTTAAGTACACAAAATCCATGTAAGGCAAAACAGCAAAGCTGATGTGAATCCAAGCTCTGCCCAAGTCATGGGCTGCGCTGCTTTTGGTTTCTACCCCAGGTCCATTCCTGATTAAATAATGGAAAAAATTTTGCCCAGCAAAATTATGCCAATTGGTCACTACCTGTAAGGTAACATGGTCTTTGAGTTTCAATAGCATTTCTTTGCCCAGTTCTCTTTGGCAATAGGAAACATTCAGGGCACAGGAGGAGTGGGCTTAGATAATGTGTTCAAGGTAGGTTGTGAAAATACAGACATGAAGACAATGGACTGTTTATTAGTGGATTTTCATTCCCTAAGTTTAGGGATGTGATTTTAAAATAGTGTTCCTGTGTAACACATGACAAGAGATTCTCTGAAGCATTCTGTGGTGATATTCTTAGTCATCTCCCTCCACAGACTGGGGAGGATAAAGAGGTGAGCGTCCTAGTTTAGAGTCAGACAGGGAAATCTATCTGATCTCACTTTAAATGTCTAAAAGCCAGAGGTCCAAGTCCAAGCTAGTCACAAGGGTCTCCTTATACTCTCTGTCTTTGATACCTGTTTAGCATGTGGTGACTGCTACTCTGGAGGTGTCCTTTTCTGCCCACTGACTAAAAGCTGGCAGCTTAGACCGCTAACTGCAATGCAGATAATCGGTTACTAGACATGCAAAGTTTGGGTGATGGTTCCCTCCTGAGGTCAAGGGCCAGCGGAGTGGGGCACGATGGGTAACTCTGTCTCTCCACAGCCGCACGTAGCTTTATGACCAGCTCTTGGTAAATGAACCTGCTCGTGAATGTGCCATTTCTGAAGGATCTCTTGGCCTTGCACAACACTAATGTCTGCCCAGATGCCATTGCAGGACCATAATTTTTCATTATGAACTCCTGGAAATTTAGTCCAAGGGTGGACTACCACACTGTGAATAAGGGTGATTTACATGCTGAGCTGCTACCCTTTATTCCCTGATTAACCAAGTGTTTATACATGCTCCCTAACGTCTCAGTGTTTCTGGATTCAGTTCAGTGTCATTGCAGCTGCCTCCTCTCCTGTGCCTAGTTCAGCACTTAGCTCCCTTTATTTTACATGCTCTATCCTGTACACGTTTCACCCTAGCTCCATAGAGGTATTTATAATAGATACTGGCCTCTTTCAAATATAAGCACTTGAGGGTTGACCATTTATCTTATTTTTGATATTTCCAGATCAAGTCCAGGGTAAAATCCTATATTTTAGGCCTCAAGAAGCGTCCATGGACGATATTTGGAATTTGCATGAGTGGCGTCCTTTCCACCATTTCTTTAACAATGGTGATCTCCACCATCATGTACTGGAAAAGTGTGAAAAGATCCAGGCTCCACCCGCAGGGCAAAATCCGCAAAATTATACGGGGACCTCCGAGGCGCACAGTGTGCTAAGGTGCAAAGTGAACTGGCCATTCATTTGTCCTTAATATGCCATACGTAGCTTATGTTACTGCTTACTTCTTTGATTTGTAAAAACAAAGCTCTTTAGCTCTACTCATCTCCCCTACCTCAAAGAGTTTTGTTGTGTCTGTAAAAGAGTACTTGAAAACAGAATGCAGCACATACCTGCTAACTACTCCTTCGTACACTGTAATTTTATCAAATGAAGTTTTCTCAGAATCTTCTCAAGGCCATGCTCAGTAATAACCCTATAAACTGCATCACCGTATCACCTGCAAGTGGTTTTGAAAGATCATTTTCTACTAACAAACTTCTGTTTGGGTTCAACACTATTATTCCTAGGAAATTCACTCTGAAATGTGGTACTACAATACAGCTGCAGATCCTGCAGCCAATTATTTTCTTGCTCAGTTCTTGCAAGTTAAACACTATGGTGACATGCAGGAATCCGTCCTAATTTGGCAGTAATATGCCTGTAAGCTTTCGTGTTCGACAGTCATCCATCTCACAATACTGTCATGGCCAGTCTCCCGCCCCAGCTTAAATTCTCCAAACCTGGACTGGCTCTTTGACTCTCATTTTTTTTTAGAGACAACTTCCATTAGTCAGCCCTGCTTGTTACATATTTTGGACAAATGAAATTTCTGGGTCACTGTCTGTCCCATAGAGTAAGTCACGTGCTTTCTTTGTACTCTTTTACAGACTCTTCACAAAGGGCCTATGGCCGCCTTTTTGATGCAAACTAAAGATAACCCCATGAAAGCCTTAGGAGTGCTAGCTGGTGTCATGGGCATAATGGTGCTGATAACTATCATGATCTCTACTGCCATGTTCTGGCGCAATAAGCGGTCCAACAAAATCATGCCGGTGAGAAGGATCATAAAAAAGAGACAGACCCCGCCGTCCCGGACAATCAGGATGGAGTGGCTGAAGTTCAAGAGGCCCAGCAATGCTGCGGAGAAGTTTGTCGTTGAGGATGATGCCAAGAGCCTACACAATGAGAACAGCAACAACAACATCCAGGTTGCTCCAACCGCCCCCTCGCCCCCACCGCCCCCTGCCCTGGCTCCCAGGGGGGACGACCCAGGTTGGCGGGTGCCAACAGTGTCCGGGTCCCTCACCCCCAAGTTTATAAACAAGCAGCTGAAGAAGAGAGGCCATAGCAGCGCCCACAATGCCCTCGTGTCAGAGCTCAAATTGAAGTTTGAGAAGAGGAACGAAGCTATCGGTGAGCCCCACATCTAGGGCAGCCCCCAGAGACTTCGGATTGTGGCTGTGCATGGATACATTTATGTGCCGTGGTGTTCCCCGTGTCTGTCAGCACCCTGTGAACTCAGAGCACTTTCTCACCCCCTCACCTTCTGCAAGTATTAGATGCCGTGGAGTCACCGCACCCCTAGCAAACACTGTGGTCTGGTCACAATTGCAGTTCCTCGGCTCACGTCCTGGTGCTGGACCCTCCCTGCAGCAGTCTGACCAGGGTGCTGAGTACCCTCACACCAGCCACAGCCTCCCCAAGTGAAGGGGGATTCAGGTTTCCCCTGTTTTCTCTGGGTCCCTACCCAGAGTCCTGGTTTCAAACAAGGCGCTGGAGTATGCCGCTTCTGACCTGATCTGGCCAGGTGGGTTTGAGGTGTCCAAAAGCCTGTCCCTTCAAATCCCAGACCTGCTCGTGAAGACACTGGCCTGGCTGTGGCACCAGCACTGAGTCGCCGTGCCGTCAACACTGCGCACTACAAGGGGGTAGCGTGTAGCTGGTGCCTGCAGCTCTCGGGGCATGATGCACCGTGCAACGGCTGGCGGAGCGATGTGCTCACGGCCTGAGTACCTTCATTCCCAAAAGGTAAGCGGGAAGGTCTGGAGGTCTTCATTTTCCTGCAGCTTATGCTGGGTTTTGCCAGAGTACATCGACATGATGCTGCGCTTTGCTTCTACCCTGGATTTGCCTGCTAACCAGGGAGCGGGAAGGTCATCGCAACCTTCCCTAGACCAGCTGAGGCATGATTTAGTGGACAAGTTCAGGAGCTGCGCTGGCTCGACACTGCCTCTTTCTGACACCGTGTCCCCTGATGAGAGGAAGGCCAGCAGGAGAAGGACATGATTAAAGCAGCAGGGAAGACAAAGTAAAGCTGAGAGAGAGATGATGAGTGAAAAATATAGACAAGTGCTGGAAAGTCGTGTATGTCGGTCAGGGAAGTGTCTGGAAAGATCATTTGGTTTTGTGCACTGCTAGCAGGAGGTGTTAGGGAATGTATTTCATCACCTCTCCTGGCTTGCTTCAGGGACTGGTGAGAGCAAAAGGAGGTTTCCATAAAATATTCCAGTATGTCCTATCAGTATTTTTGAGTGACTTATGCAATAGTTAACAGGGAGGGGGGTGGGGGGCAGCTGACACGTTTTTTCCCTATTATATGACAGTAAAAAGGCACCAAAGGCAGAGCAGTTTTTTCACTGGATCTACCCCACAGTTTCTCCTGGATGTCTGTTTCTGAGCAGATGTTTTTCGGTGTGGCCTGGCTGGGGAGAAGGCAGCATGTACCAGGCTGAGTGGGGAGCAGCACCCCACACCCTCTGCCTGAGCCCTGGCCCCACAGGGCAGCTGCATCGGCACCATGAACATCCAGAAGGGGAGTAAACCCTACAGGACAGGACACTGTGTTAGTCCAAGGGGTTCATGAGACTCTTCTCCAGCTGTCATTTCAGCTGGACCAGCAGACCTGGCCCTCAGGGGCTCCTCTTCTCCCACATCACCAGCTGGTCTAATTCCCTTTGCATGAGAACTTCATCAGCTTAGAGGACAGCTGGTTAAACAAGAAGTAAGTTACACATTTTTGGGGCAAATCCTGTATCTTTTAACTTCAGTTCAGCCCACCCTAAAGCCAAAGGGTCACCATGGCTCATGTCACCCTTGTGCTCAACCAGGAGTTGTTGTCAAGAGGTTGGGGAGCCGTGGCAGCAGCACTGCTCCCAGAACCTCTCCTGCTGCGTCTCTCGTTTCCTCCACAGTTCTCATCCCTCTGCCTGGGGCTGCGTGGCTCAGGCTCTCGCTTGTGTGTGGTCACCTTCTCCTTGTACTCTGGTGAGAGGGAGGGAGGGAGGGACGTGCAGCCCCGGCCCCAATCCTGCTGCCCTGCGCGAGCACACGTCTCCTGCTCATCGTGTCTCCGCCGGGTACCGCAGCGTTTCCTGAGGTACCCAAAGTCAGTGATTTATTCCCCGTACTACTGTTTTCCCGATGTTGTGTTGAAGCCAGTATTCAATGTTCATTCTCCAATGAGAAAAGCCTATAAAGACCATTCAATTAAGTGAGATTTAACAGGAATTATAGGCTTATAGTTTTAGAGATTATATTTAAGAGGGAATAAAGATGTTTTATTACTATGTTGTGAGACTTTTTTTCCAGTTACTCTGTATTTCAACTTCAGGGGGGGATTTTTTTACAAATAAAACAAAACCTGCAAAAGGTGCTTCTGTGCATGGTGTGCTTCTGCTGGCAATGATGCCTTGTCATCACTTGCTCTGTGACCACAAGGGCAGCCAGATGCCTTTCCAAGATGACTAGGTGGCCCCTTTTGCCCACCACAAGTCAGGAGAAGGACTGTGTGGCTTTTGGCAACACCAGCTCGGAAGGAGGGGAGGTGAGGAGCGGGATGCAGTGGGGCATGGGGGACAGGCAGGGTCACAGATGAGCCCTTGGCCCATTACGCTCTGCAGCCCACTGCAGCGTGGCCCCGGGGTAGGATGGCTCCTTGTGAGCCAGCAGGTTCAGTCTGATGGCAGCGCTCACGGGGTATGCAGTTTATTGTGAGCTTCCTGCACGTGGTGAGGGGATGTTTTGTCTTTCCCTGGCTGTGTCCTCATTGTGATGCAGCAGCACTCGCTCTCCAGCCTC